ATTATATCAATGTCATCAGTTAACTTACATATAATATCGTCGTCAAAAAGAAGTTATTAGGTATAACTTAAGTATAAATCGATTCTTAAACTGCTGACGCATGGAGTTGCATCATATTTGTTGCCTCGTCCATTATGCAACTTATGCGATTTTCTTTCGCAATTTTATAATGTTGATGAACTTTGTCTCCTACCATTGTTGCTGAATCAGTTAACAATACATTTCTTAATCTTTGTTTTAAAAATGTGATGATTAATTTATTATATTTAGGTTGTTTTACAAATTAATTGGAATATTCTGCATGCAATTTTGTTTATTGTTTAAAAACGGAGCCAGTCTTGTTACATTTCATTAAATTACAGTATAAACATTTTAATTTATAAAGTTATTTTTCCAATAAACTCTTTCTGATTAATCAACGCGGACTTTGCAGTTGCTAAACATTGTCTATGATAATAATCAGTCATGTGTCATTATAAAATAAGCGGGAAAAAGCTTGTTTATCAAAATCAAAGTAGACATTACATTTAACTATTTTTAACATGAAAGTATGAGACAAAGATTATTTTAAGAGTTAGTCATCAGTTTGGTGATATTTTTAGCTACAGCCGCTCGTTTTCCTGTCTTCTATCTTATTTATAACAATATTATCAACATTTTGTTTGAACACACAGGACTTAAATTCTATAATAAAATAAAAATATACAGCCAGCATTAAAAGCGTAAAAAAATACATTAAAGATAAAATAGAAACAAATTCTCGACTGGCATTCGAATTTTAAGCTGGTATATCTTGGCAATTCTATAAAGCAATTGCTATTTAAAATTAAACTTTATTATTGATGCTATAGAGTCTCATTCACGAATTTAGGGGTGTCGCAATAAAGTTGTTCGTATCGCTAGTTCGGACAACTACGGTCGATGACCCTTGGCGTACATAAGCCGTTAGATTAAAATTTAAATTTGGAACTAGGAGCCCATGGCTGAGGAGTGTAAAATTGAAGATTTTTGCGACTGCAGATAGAAACTTTAACATTAAATCCAAAACATGGAGCAAATTCCGTGTTTTTTGAAAAATTAAGTAGGTACATGAGAAGCAGTTATTTTGATAACTGCCAATGGAAATGTGTTTATTTATGTGCTTAAAAAATTAACAATACTTTTGAGTCTTGTCCTTTTAAAAGTATAGTTTCCTGTCAACCCTAACTTAAACCTGGTTGAGCCTTCTATAGGTGGTTGACCTATGACGTACGGTGGGTGTGTAAACCATAGTATTGAATGCAAATTTGAAAATCGAATAATCGCCAAGTCGATTGTCAAGTGTCCTTAGGAACTCGTCAGTTGTTATATTTAAAGTGCAAAAAGAGACTTTATAGCTATGCAATAAGATAATTTATGTAAAAGCAAGAACATTTACCACATATCAAATAGGTGAAATGTCGGAGTGTTGAGAAGTAGAAATTGTAAAATTTTATAATCCTGGCTTGGCTTCTAAATAAAATTTAAAACGTCGTACTTGACACGACAAATACATTAAATTTTCCAAGAATCTGTCTCATCTTTCATTCAAGTACAAAACTAAGACTAAACGAGGCACTGAACCAAAATTCCAAATACAAAAATGGCATTTCAAACTTTTAAATCACAATTTTAAAGGCAAAGATCACAATTCCCATACAGCCTAAAAACTATAAGATCAAATCGAGTCGTTGCATAACTGTAAATTCTAAACATTCGAAATTCAAAATGATGACCGTTGTGTGACGTAGCGGGGCATGATACAATTTCCGAACAAGCTCGCGGTCGACGCCCGACGACGTCACAATCAGCTGTTTCGCGGGACAGAGACAGATGTATATTTTGTCTCTGTCTACGGGAATGCCTGGAGTGCGTACGGATCCATAAAGAGGTTTTTGCATCCTGTAGATAACAACTATCTAATAATACTAAAAAACTGGAGAATTTGTTTGTTTCACGCGCTTATCTCCGAAACTGCTGGTTCTAATTTGAAAAATGTTGTGTTTTTCATTTACCGAGGATCGCTATAGGCTGTAAAATAATAAAGCCTTGCACTTTGAGAAAAAAAAACCGTTTTTCCGAACCAAAATTATGAATTCGAATTTCGAAACGGAATTTACCGAATAAACGTTACAATGTTGATTCAAGAAAAGGATATTGCAAACTTACATTTTGTCAACAGTTGTGTCGTTAAACGGAACGGCCTTTCAAACTATTGTTTCGTATTCCGTTCTACGCAACGTCATTTAAAATATTTTTTGTAAGTTTCATAATTCTTGTGGCTATAGAATTACATGTCTACACTGAAATTCGATTCAGGATTACATCACCTGCAATAACTTATCCTATTGTATAAAAGGGAGCCACCCATCCGAAAACCAACCTTGGCTAGGGTAGCTTAACCTATGATAGACCAAAGTAAATAGTCCGGTGTATGGAAATAGACATTTTGTATGAATGTATGGGAAAATTTTAAAAATCCATTCTTACACGTGTCGTTTACTAATCGTTATTTTAGAGTCATCGTTAAAATATAATTAACAAGAAACTAACGATTAAACACATTACTTAAAGGTAATTTGTCTAAAAGGTATTTTAAATAGATTATCGTTATCGTTAATCGTAAAACAAGTCAACTATTTTCGCCATTTATGTTATGAGTCCCATGTAATAGGGCGTGAGTCTATTGCCATATACCGGGCACAATTCCAGACTCCGTGCTACTACTGATTTCTATTATAATAATTTTCTCTGAGACAATGTATTAAGGCAGTATGTAACTACACAATTTACAAAGAATGGACAGCAGCGCCCTCTGATAAACATGAACCTTTTATACTGTCATCTCCAAACCTGTAAGTATGGAGTATGGTATATAAGTATACCTCTTTAATGTAGAAAAACTCCATAGTCAAGCTACTTATTTAACTTGAAAACTTAACTAAATAATACTCCCGTTTTGATTAGAAACTAGTAGATATTTCTTCTATTAGTTTACGTAAACAACCAGCTATTTTCTATTAAGAAAAAACTGTATTGTTATAATAACTATCGTGAGATATACTTACTAAAATCACGCTGTTCATGAGGAAGAACCCCTCTGTTGTTCGAAACTAGTAGAGCTTTTCTCAGTATATTCACGTGAGTAACCCGTGATTTTAGTTATTTAAGAAAAAAACTGTCTATATATATTTTTTTCATTTCTTGCGTACCCCCATAGGATGCAAAAACGCATAATAATAAATAAAATTTCTACCAAATTAGAGTACAAAACGGAGTATAATATTATATTATAGTAGTTGCTAGCTTCAGTCAGCGAGTTCGCTCGCGGTTCCATAGAATATAAAGTGTTATTCCAAACTATATATAATATCTATCTCTGTCCAAAATTTCATCCCGATTCTTTCTGTAGTGTTGGCATGAAGAAACAACAAACAAACTTTCATATTTATAATATCACTAGCTTCTGCCCGCGATTTCGTACGCGCAATCTCGTTTTCTCGTTAGCGTAGGATTTTCGGGATTTTTTCTGTCTTAAGAACCTAATAATAACAAATACAACAAAAAAAAGAATTAGTGATATCAGTCCCGCCATTCACGCGTGATGCCGTGACCAAGGGAAAAAGGGATTTATTTTTATAAATATAGATATAGCAGGATTTTGTAATATAGTACGTATCCACGCACACATTGACAAAAGGGCTTGCTCCATCTGTATAAGGCTCGCACACACGTATCCAGAGTCATTGGACGCAAAGCGACCTTGCCGGGGTCAACGAACTGAGACCAAAAATGGCTGCGTAACTTGATACCAGTACCGTATCTTCACGGTCTTTTAGGAATAGGGGTTTAATAGAGTAGAGGGTGCTTATGAAGTTGGTTGGTATTTTTTGTGGGACGATTTTATCTAAAATAATGTTCAATGAACTATGTTTAAAAAAACGACATAAAACTACAATTTTTTTGAAGATGGTTAATAATAAATAAATTAATAATAAAAAAAGTCTTACATTTCCAGTTTACAAATTAACTTAAAAGTATTGTTTCCTACTTATAAATGTAATAAAGTGCTTAGTTAACAAAATAAATTGATAATAGAGAAAATTGAAATCCTTACTAGTCCTTATCCTTACTAATATTATAAATCTGAAAGTGAGTTTGTTTGTTTGTTTGTTTGTTCCACCTTTACGCCGTAACTACTCAACCGATTGCTTTGAATTTTTGCAGACGTAAAGTTAGAAGTCCGGATTAAATAATAGGGTACTTTTTAACCCAGATAAAATTGCTATTCCCGAGGAAAAACAAAAGTAATGGTATAGATGGCGCTGTGTGCATTGGTATATGTCACATAGGCTATTTTTTATTCTTTTGTGACGCGAGCGAAGCCGCGGGTAAAAGCTAGTCTTAAATAAATAATAAAGTAGGTTACTATACTAAAATACGCTCCTGAGTGTAACAAACACGTTTCTGGTATCCACATCAAAATTGGTTGAGTCGTTCGCGAGATAATAGCGGTCAAATATATACATGCACATAGGAAAAACGAAGAAACTCCTTAATGTGTTTTGAATAAGGTTAAACAATGCAATGATTTGCAATTTATGATTCTATTTGAGATTTTTATCATACCTTTAAATTAATTATTATTGTATTGTACACTAGCTAACCCAGTGAACTTCGTAACGGTTAAAAATATCTCAAAAATCTTCTAAACCTTCCCTGAACTTCCACGAACATATCAACACCAAAATCAGCCAAATCAGTTCAGCCGTTCTCGAGATTTAGCAAGACTAACGAACGGATTCATTTTCATTTATATAGATTTTGACAAACTGTGGCATTCCAATCAAAAGCCTAACTTATAAACTCCTCATTACAGCTCAAATTCAAATAACACTATACTAGGTGTATCTATGCAGATTCCAATGTCCTGACTAAATTGTTGTCAAGCAAAAACCTAACCTATTTCTTTATTGTTACAGCTCAAATCGAAATAATACCATGCAAGGTGTGTGGAGACAAATCGTCAGGAGTCCACTATGGAGTGATCACCTGCGAGGGATGCAAGGGATTCTTCAGAAGATCACAAAGCACAGGTCGGCTTCATTTGTACTTCTCTATAATCAACTTTATTTCTTTTCGTTTAAAGTTGTTTTTTGTTTACTATAATTGATATATATTGGTGTCTAGTAATTTTAAAAGCTCTGGGCCTAATTAATATACTGATTTGAATATAAATAATTTAATTTTGGCTTTATTACCGGAACCGGACCCGGGAATTGAACCCGAGACCTCTTGCCCGGCAGTCGCACTTGCGACCACTCGGCCAACGAGGCAATCATACATATTTTTTTTACATAGCTACACTAAATCATAGTCAGACGGATCACCTGATGGTAAGCAATCGGCGTTGCCCATGAACACCCGGAAAACTAGAGGCGTTACAAGTGCGTTACCGACCTTTTGGGGATTAGGAGGACACTCCGGTCGAGCCGGCCCATTCGTGCCGAAGCATGGCTCTCCCACACTTAAAGTCCTATGTAATAAGGGATGAGGCTGTTGAGTTGTACCTACCATAGAACATCTTATTGTTAACACATTGAACGCCATGGGGGTCACTGGTATCCGACGGCAACATTAGCGAAAGAGACTTCAATAGTTTTTTATTGGCATCAAAACTTACTTTTTTTTTTTAAACATTGCCCCACACTAGGATTGTCTCCTGTGTCGTGGGAGCGTTTACAAACATACAAGTTCACATACACAATGACACCCAGACCCGAAACAACAATTTGTGGATCACACAAAGTGCTGTTCCGTGCGGGAATCGAACCCGCGACACGTTGCACGGCAGCCGGTTGCCCAGCCACCGCACCAACCGTGCAGTCAAAATTTAATACTAAGACGTCACATTTTCACTACATTTCAGTAATAAATACTAACTCTATTCAATATTTTCCAGTGGTGAACTACCAATGCCCGCGAAACAAAGCGTGCGTGGTGGATAGAGTGAACCGGAACCGCTGCCAATACTGCAGACTACAGAAGTGCTTGAAACTCGGAATGAGTCGAGATGGTAAGTCCTACCTTTTAAAATGACCACCCATCCAAAACCCGACCTTGGGTGGGGTTGCTTAACCTTAGGATTGAGTCAAGTATTATTGGGGTATGTCAGTTGTGTGGTGGTATACATACATAAGAAAAAGTAGCGTCTTTCATACTTTTCGCTATTTATGTTATGATTCCCATGCAATTAAGCACGTTCCTATGCCTATTAACTATTACTAGTCATAATTATATTAATACACTCGAGAACTTAAGCAAAAAGCACAAGGTTTTTCAATTCCAGAATCGAACTCCATACTCAACAGTTACCAACACAAACACTAAAGAAAACACACTATAAATAGACACAATAATACACACACACACATTCCAATAAAACACACATTAAACAAAAATAATAATACACAATAAAAACAGTTCCATTTTTAAATCAAAAATGAGTTGAATAAAAGAATGTGTTCACCTTCGAGCACGTGTGTGTGGTACAAGGAAGCGAGTGGCGGGTCAACGACCTCTTATCGCAACTGATAACGTTATGTTTATACTACATAAGTGTTGAACGCAAGTTTATTATGAGAAAATGTGATGTAGAAATTGTAACTAAACGTAATCATTTATATTGGAGAGTTCCTAATGTTGCTGGGCAAAGGAATTGTAGGGAAAAATTATTGGGGTTGGGAATCAAGTGATTTCGGGTGGGAATTTTTTGTCCTCGCTGGACTAAACTTATGATGTTAAGGCCAGTGCTGGACTAAGGTTCTTATGGCTTATGTTATAATATTCACAAATAATAAAAAAAACATGTATATTCTAATAGTAAATCGTAAAAGGTAAGTAGGTACTACATAGTGACAATCAGAAAAAATAAACAATGTAATAGTTCCATTTATGAGCTACTAATGCCATCTGTTATCGATTTTCCTAAAACATTTTTTATCTAATAGAATAATAGATTTTTCATTATATTTTGAAATGAATGACTGATTCAGAAACACCTCTCTTACAATTCATATTATTGTTAATTTTTGTTGAACTCTCCCCGTTTCTTAAACATACATAAACGATATATTCAAAATCGAGATAAAACAGCAGTAACAAAAAAAGCAAAAAAGCTAGCACTTACAAAAAACGCAACCACCCTTTCCGTGACATCACCGCCCTCTGTATTTTAAACCCAACAATGATTTTAAAAGCATACTTAGTAACATACATAGAACGTGTCACGCCAAATCGCGTGCACATAGCGAGTCGTCGCCGACGCGTGCAATGACGACGGACAACTTGTTGCGCAATCCACGTAACAACTTACAATAAGTGCAGAGACGCATCGGTTTTGACGAAAATTATCGATAAGTATTGTAAAATTATCGACTGTAAAACAAATGTTAATAGTACGAACGTCGAACGAACGTAGAACGTCAAAAAAAATATTTAAATATTAAATAATAAGAAAAAATGACAGTCTGTAGGTCAGTCCTCTAGTGAAGCTATTTGCTCGTTCCAAATTGTAGATTCCTATGGAGAAGAACGAGCAAGAAACTCCATAGGTTACTCTTTTCAATCAGGTTTACAATACAATTTTTGGTTACATTCTTTCGTTGGGTTCAATTATGGGAGAACAATGTAACACCAATATTAGTCAAGGAGACGGAAATGAAAATAATCTTGAGGACAACAAATATAATACAGTCTGGAGCTGACCAGTCCTATTTGGCAGCGCCCGTTCATGAACATGACACGTACACCAGCACCGCCCAACTGAACCATGTTGTAGGGAATCGAGCGATTTACTGCCCATGCCACTGCCAATGAGACTTTTTAGTGAGCATGACAACTCCAAGCTGACACAACACACATTTGGCGTCCTATCCATCTTTGACATGCCTTCCCTTTCTTACAACACTGTTATCGCGATCATCTCCATTTTTCAAGCGCCCTGTACATAGCATGTCACATTAATCATACATAACATGATACCGTCCACGCTACACAGACTTGTTGCGTAACGACCAGTTGCCACGCGCTTTTCTCGATAGATTATTATAAGTAAATCTATCGATGTCGATAAATTTCAAATAATAATTTTGAACTTTGATACTTTTGAAAGGATTGTATTGCAAAAATAGTTTTTATAGCTAATAAAATAAGGAAAGTGGCTGCTAGTAAAATCTTTCATATTATGAGCCCTCTTCTTCGTATATTTCTGTAATTGTATCAACATAATCACAAAAGTGTTATCATATTTCATTCTCTAAGTACATTTGAATATAATTATCTGATTCATAATAAATGATGAACTAACTGAAGCCAAGAAATTACAAAAAAAGCACAACAAAACATCTCACAATAAAAACCATCGATAAACCAAAATCATCGATAACCACCACATCACTACAACATTGTGCAATATAGTCATGAAGCATAACATAAACATATCCAAGTTTTTACAGCGACACACACACATGCGCACACTGTAATACGATTACACAGCACACATGCGCAAGGGACGGCCTTATGTAACAGAACACTAATTATTTCAAACTAGTCATATCGATACATATTTTATAACGTTACGTGGTAACACATAATACTTGTTTTTAACCGACTGCAAATGTACATATCGCTGCTAAAATATTGGTAACTTTACGATGTGAACATTAAAAAATTGCGTCTCATTTTTCTCAAAATCGACGACAAACGTCTAAAGTTATTCGTAAAAACTGATTTTCGACACTAAGTTGTTGGCTCTTAGGTGTCTTTTTGACTACTTAAATGGTAGTATAGTGCTAACTTGTAATGTCTATTTGCGAATTATGATATCATAGAAGCTAAGAAAACATGTTAGCAATCTTCCGCATACCCAAGAGAGCCCCTTCTATTGACTTACGACCAAAAATAAATATTTTTCGACACACATACAGTTCAAAGACTCTATTGTAAATGAACAAACAAACTATTGTTTCAAATTTTATTGTTTCCACAAAAATCTGGAACGCGTCTATGAACAGAGCTTCTTGTTCCGAAATACGTATACATAAGCAATTTTCCTAGACCTCCCGATGCATATAAAGTGTATGCAAAGACAGGTCAAGTTATACTGGGTATGTGAAGTCATCGAACTTCAACAAAGAATTCGTAGGCAAATACAAACATAAAAAAACGGTTTCCTAAAAAAAATATCCGGCGAAATTAAGAAGTTAGCTCGCTTTGCGTCGGACGTTCGAGCGGTGTTCGTAATTCAAATCGGTCGCGTTGGCGCCCAACGGGATCGAACGGAGTTACGTAGCGAGTACGTCACTTGTACTATACATACACACGTCAGAGTTCGCGAGTTCGTTGTTCCACTAGGCAGTGTGCCAACGGCCGAAGTGTCCCGGACGCACACGAACGCACACCCTACTCACACAACCAATCAACACCCGTTTGTCCACGCACACTATCAACCCACCGCACACTACAGCGACGCAAGTGTGCAAGTATTGAGTAACTAAGCGATGAAGCTAGTTGTCATTGAGAATATAATTACATTGTATTGTTAGACTTACCGATTTTAACTGCGTTTTTTTCGTCGTGTGAATATTAAGGCATGGGAACGATGCGAATATAGGATTCCCTGTTATGTCATTTGTGTCATAAGTTTTTCGTACGCGACGCGAGCGCTCGTGACGGTGAGTAGGGGTACTAATTTTAATTTTCCCTTTACAGCGGTGAAGTTTGGACGTATGTCGAAAAAGCAACGCGAGAAAGTGGAAGATGAGGTGCGATTCCATCGTGCACAGATGAGAGCGCAGACTGATACAGCGCCTGATTCAGTTTATGATGCCCAGCAACAGACACCAAGCTCAAGCGACCAGTTCCATGGTCACTACAACGGGTGAGTAACGCCATCTCTTATCGAAAAGCAACACTATAAACAACATTTTCTCAGTTATGTAATTTGTGCACTTTATGCAATGCGTTAGACTGTTAAAGACAGATAAGCTTTATCAATATAATTTCTATCTCATTCTAAACTTGATGAAGATCTTAAAATCTTTTTCAAGCAACTTCGTAACAAAATATGTGGCACAAGCGTGCAGTATAATTTATTTACGCGGCTGGCTAATAAAATACATAATGGTTAGCAGTCTGGCAACTGAAGTACGTCTCGTTAAAACTCGTAGCTTTCTAGTTTGCCGTCACCGTTGTAATTCATTACTACACGGACTTCAATTTGTGTCAGCGGTGCATCAGAACGCTGCCATTATTGTAAGCGACCAACGGTATACTGTCGTGACGAAGTTGAATGGCGCTTAACGGTATACTGTAAATACTGCCACCTAGTATCGAGTAGCGGTACTAAGAGTTTCTCATTAAGAATGATAGATGGCGCTGTTTTTATACTAGCGTGTTTGAGATGTCTAACAGATTTACGGTTTGTTTTTCATTGCGATTTAACTGTTAAGTGTTAAGGAATGAGGTGAAAATTGTTAATGCGACAGTTTTTGCTTTGAACAGGGATATAACAATTATAAACTGTATGTGATAGCTGTTTTTATTATTATTGCATTCTTAGTCGAAGTTCGAAATACCTACGTATTTGCAACACTTGTGCAATAACATTAAACCAAGAAGTAAATGAAATATAGAATATAATCCAACTTTAAATTAACAAATCCATTTATCAATTCCAGATACCCAGGCTACGGGTCTCCCCTATCATCATACGGGTACAACAACCCACAGCCACTCCAGTCCAACATGGGTGGAATCCAGCCCCAGCCCACCCAACAACAGCCCTACGATGTATCAGCTGACTACGTCGACTCCACAACAGCATACGAACCGAAACAAACTGGAAGTTTCCTGGACCAGGATTTCATCAGTCATGGTACGTATTTCTGGGTAGAAATTCCAGTCATGACATAATGGGTTAGAATCCCGAATGGATGATTGGATGTTCTGGGTGTGGGTTATGTTTGTTTTTGTAAATATTATGTATTCTTCAAATAGCAAAGGGTTGAGTTTAAAATCTGAATATCAGATTGAACTATAAAACACCCAGGATACAGGTGAAAACATCAGAATCAAGTGATTAGGTAAATCGATACAAGTTCACGAAAGTATTAGAAATCAGATTCATAATAAATAATGCTCAGTTAGGGTAATAAAACTTAGTAGGCTACAATCATAATAAAATACATAACTGAAACTTAAATCGATATTTCCAATACCATCCAAACATTAGAATGGAATTTAACCCAATACCACCCATTCCACTAACACCACAAAATTAACTATAGACGAACAACAAAAAGGGACAACTATAGTACGACCCACCGGTTCCACATCAACATCGACGGCGACCACATCAACAACATCAATGCGACAATCAACCATTAACGAGATACCACGATCCAGACTCCAAGAGTACGATCGCTATGAAGAATCCCGAATCCAGTCCCCAGCATCAATTTCCAGCGGAGTGCTAAATATAAAACAAGAAATAAAACCAGAAACGTCAATGAGTGTCGACAACTTGGTACCGAGCTATGTGGATTCCACGACATTTTTACATAGTCCGTCGAACATCCAACACAGTCCAATGGACATCCAGAACTCTGTATTGGTCAGTGGACATAATTCTGTGTCGATGGCTAGCGATGACTTGAGTCCTGATGACTTGACGTCAAGTAGTGGGCATGGGAGACTAATGGACCCGCTTAACATGAATATGTCTGGGATGGGTATGGTGAACCCTAATGCCATTTCCAGAAGATCTCAAGGCGCCAGTCATAGTACGAACGATGATATGCCGTGTAAGTGAATAATATATGGGATTAACGATTTATGCTAAATATTATTTATTTTGCTAGTTTTTTTTTGTTGGAATGTTATTTTTTTCCGTTCGTAGGTCAGATTATGATTGATATTTTTTTATTTTCTACAGTAAGATGTGCTTGCTTGGAGGCAGCATACTAAACACTATCGTTTCCTCCATTCTAGGGCAAAATCAATGTCCAAAATTCTATAATTTAAAAAATCCATTCCTTAAGATTACAATTACGTTTTCTGGATTATTCCATCACTTCCACTTACAACAGTCTCATCCACTAAACTAAAGAGGCATATAATAAAACGAAATTATTCAAAATTACAATATTTTAATTACAAAAGCATACAATTTATCTGTTATGTAGTCTTTTGAAAGATGAAATCGTTAGTATTATTGTCGACTACCACATTATATCGTTGTCCGTCAAATCCCTCGAAGGGGAAGTAGCGAAGACTATTTCTTAACTAAAAATAAAAAAGCACCATTAAAACCTATTAATTTACTTACGTCATTACTACATGACTCATAAACTTTAATATTTATCTATAGCTTAATGAAAGAAAACATGTCATTATTAAAAGAGGTTCAATAAGTAATTAGCAAGATTCATAAACTTGTAGTTCATCATCGTCGGTGATCAGTAATGCCCCGTTCGCACTATGCTAGTATTTCAGCCGAGTAGCGAGTATGTATCAGAACCAAAGAGAGGTTGAGCTACCAAAAAACTCGTTACTGACTGAATTACTATCGAAATGCAAACAAGGCATAAAAGACTTACTAAAACCTTTTTTTATGATTTCGACAAACTTCTAGGGTCAAATCATCTTGGTTCCATGTAGTTATAAAAATAAGCACAACATCTACATCTATATATATACATATATAAAAATGAAACCCGTTTCCCGTTGTCACGCCATAACTTGAGAACGGCTAGATAGATTTGGCTGATTTTTTTTGTTGTGTTTGTTATTGTCAGGAAAAAGTTCCTATGACAGAAAAAAATCCTGAAAATCCTACGGGAACGGGAGAAAACGGGATTGCGCGTCCGAAGTCGCGGGCAGAAACTAGTTTTTAATAAATATCACGATTTTGAACCATACATCATGATAGTAGATTTCATAAAATTCCTTTATAAATTATACGACATTATCATTACATTAAAACAAGCTGTTAACCGCCATATTTAAAACTGACAACAATTTACCTAAGACAATCAATTTTGAGTAAAGACTTAATATTTTGTAAAATACTTACGCCATTGAAGTAGCCATTAGCTTGGAATTGTTGCTGCCGTCGATTCTGGACACACTGGCCATTCTGGGCATTCTGGGCATTCGGCCCGAAATCCTGTTGTCGTATTATAATCATTGGCAATGGTATCACAGGTAGAGATAAACAGAATGGCAGTAAACAGGCTGAAATATATATAAAAAACATTAGATAACACATTGTAACTATATACTGACAATATACAGTCAAAACGATAGAAGTCGAATACTTTCAAACCTTCAAGAAAGGGCGTATTCTTTTTTAAAAGGCCGGCAACGCACCTGTGACTCCTTTGGTGTTGCGAGTGTCCATGGGCGGCGCTGATCGCTTACCATCAGGTGATCCGTCTGCTCGTTTGCCTCCTATTCCATAAAAAAAACTGTTTAGATAATCTATATATATAAAAGAAAGTCGTGTTAGTTACACCACTTATAACTCAAGAATGGCAGAATAGATTTGGCTGAAAATTGGTAGGGAGGTAGCTTAGAGCCAGGAGACCGACATAGGATACTTTTTAACCAATTTTTTTTTTACTTTTTTTCGAAAATCACGAACGGGGACGGGAAAAAATGGGATGGTACGCGTACGAAGTCGCGGGCAGAAGCTGGTTATATATATAGCTGAGTGACTGACAAAAATGTACAGTCTAAACTACATTTTCTCGTATGCGGAATATTGTGTATAGTTCTTAGGGAGTTTAAGAGATGGACAAGAACTGATCTTTTAGTATTTTTTTCAAATATACTTGAGCGGTAGCTTTTACTCGCATGTAAATAACCTTATGACCAAGATTACTATGCCTACTTCCAATTATAATGTACTCAAAATTTAAGAAGACTGGCTGAGTAGATCAACAAATAGAGAAACAGGCTTAAAACGCTTTTATTATATTAGTTGGAATTAAAATACTCTCTACCAAATTATTTTATTTATAATCACAAATGCAGTAATGACTGCCTCGTTCGGCGAGTGGTCGCAAATGTGACTGCCGGGCAAGAGGTCTCGGGTTCGATTGCCTGGTCGGGCAAAGTATTACTGAGTTTTTTAAAAATAGGCTAGGTTCACCCCCTATCACATGGGACTCATAACATAAATAGTGAAAAGTGGGTGTTACATTGTACTGTGGCATATTCCGTAATGTGTACCCCTTCGGGAATAAAAGGCGTGATGTTATGCACAAATGCGCAGTTGAAAATTGTACTCACGCCAACAAATGCAACAGCATGTTCCTAAAAGAAATGCTGTCACTGGATCTATAGGCATGATATTAAATAATTTGCCAACATTATCATGATGTAATAATAAATTAGATATTGATATAAAGAGAAATAATTAATGATTACAACAAAACATAGCACAAATTTCAATGACAATGTCACTCTGTCAAAGTAGACATTTTCCTAAGCTGTCATGTATTATTTTTTCTTTTTGTTTTGTTCAGAAATTTTTATATATTATTTTTTGTATTTTTACTTAGTTCTGTTGTTTAGAAATTGTTGTACATAATAGAATGCTTGTATACACACAATAAATTTTGTTTTCTGTTATATTATTTCGTAGATATATTTTATTTTTATTATTAAATTGTAGCATAAATACTTTTTGATCATTTATAGAACATCGCCATCTGTCGGCAAGTAGCTGAACTATATTTTCTTTTACAGCGGAGGGCGATATAAGCAAGGTGCTGGTGAAGAGTTTGGCTGAAGCTCATGCGAACACCAATCCCAAATTGGAGTACATCCATGAGATGTTCAGAAAGCCACAGGATGTGTCCAAGTGAGTACATATAAAAATTTTATTATTTCCAAAATTATCCCTTTCAAGACCATTCCCATTGGTAACACATGTTTTAATAAAAATCTCAACCAATCTCCTTCGATGGGTACCAACTAGAGTAAGACGTCGATATTGGCTACCAAATGCTTACCCAAAATTTCCACTTACATTTAAAGAACACCCATTTACATTTAAAAAACCCACTTACATTTAAAAAACATCCACCCCACTTATTAATACAATTTTATTTCTTCTAGACTCCTTTACTTCAGCTCGATGACATACGAGGAGATGTGGCTGGATTGTGCGGACAAATTGACTGGAATGATACAGAACATCATTGAGTTCGCCAAGTTAATACCTGGCTTCATGAAACTGACGCAAGATGACCAGATTCTGCTGTTGAAGTCTGGTGAGTATGGGTATCCATTCGTCATCCATTTTTAATTGGGGTTGGGACCTTGGTATTGTCACTACATAGTATAAAACAAAGTCAAACAATAATATCAAAATATCCCAAATGTAACATCATCATCATCATTCATCTACATTTAAATTTCAAATACATAAATGAAATTCAAAAATTAATCTTCTTCATTTTTTCTTTTAGGTTCATTCGAGTTGGCCATTGTGAGACTTTCTCGACTGATAGACGTGAACCGTGACCAAGTATTGTACGGAGATGTAGTGCTGCCTATCAGGGAGTGCGTGCATGCACGGTGAGTTACATTTTATTTCAGAGATAAAGAAAAAATAACATTTAAAATGAGACTGACTCATTGGCCGAGTGGTCGCAAGTGCGACTGCCGGGCAAGGGGTCTCGGGTTCGATTCCCGGGTCGGGCAAAGTATTACTGGGTTTTAAAAAATCTCAGTAGTAGCACGGAGTCTGGAAAAATGTGCCCGGTATATGACAATAGGCTCACCCCCTATTACATGGGACTCATAACATAAATAGTGAAAAGTGGGTGTTACATTGTACATACAGTGGCATTAAGTGCCGAAATGTGCACCTCTGCCTACCCCTTCGGGGATAAAAGGCGTGATGTTATGTTATGTTAAAATGAGAATAGGACTTTTTTATGAATTATGTGGAGTGTGTTTGTGAAATAATAATTGACATTTTATTTTATAGTTACATTTAAATTCAGAATTTTTCATTTAAATTCAGAATTAATAAATTGAATCTTTTTAAATTAAAATTAATTTTGAATAAAAATAGAATGGTTTACTATATTTTGTGAGCATGTTGTGTTTAGTTTGTTAAAACGTGTTTCTATGAAAATTTCCAGTGATCCCCGTGACGTGGCACTAGTGGTGGGTATATTTGAGGCGGCGAAGACCATCGCGCGACTCAAGCTGACTGAGACTGAACTGGCGCTCTACCAGAGCCTTGTGCTTTTGTGGCCAGGTAAGAATCTAACGTATTTTACCTATTTTTAACCGACTTCAAAAAAATTCTCAATTCGACCGTATACATATATGCTTTTTTTGGTTTCCCTACCTTTTCTAACTATACTGTTAGAGATTAAGAATATAAATGAACAGCAAAATTAGCTCACAAGTATTATCACTAATCACTTATAGGAAAATGGTGACAATTCAAACAGTTCATGTCATGTAGAAGCCACATCACTTTTGTAGTATAATGATCTCTTATTTCGAATCCTTACCCCAAGTTACTGTTGATCGACTCTCCTCCTCCATGACTCTATGATATTCTGATATTCTCATCTTCATTCATATATCTTTCCATTTTAATCCACAGAGCGACACGGAGTCCGCGGTAACCCTGAGATCCAGTGTCTGTTCAACATGTCGATGGCGGCTATCCGGCACGAGATCGAGTCCAACCATGGACCCGTCAAGGGTGACGTCACAGTGCTAGACACACTGATCAACAAAATACCCAACTACAGGTATGCTTCATTAATATTTCTTGTTATTCTTGGTTCTGACTTTATATTAAATTGTATAAATTATTATTGCCATAAATCTAGACAATCATTGCTAAAAAACATTTGAAAACCTAAAGTAAGTCCCAATAACACTTCTGCTCAAATCGAAAATCAAATCCGAAACAATTGATAATGCTATCCTCACTTGCGAACACTTTGACGTATGAGGCAATCTCAACTACCTTTTTTTTAAAAAGATGATCGTAGAACTGATTTATGAATACTAATATTCTATTTCATTTGTTCACAGAGAACTGGCGCTGATGCACTTGGAGGCATTGTGTCGTTTCAAGGCGGCGCACCCCCACCACGTGTTCCCAGCACTCTACAAAGAGCTGTTCTCACTGGACAGTGTCCTGGACTACACCCACGGCTAGGCCCACAAGGTCTACCCCCAGGTTTCTCTCAGATTTCGTTAGAACGATCTCATTTTTGCCCAATATAGCTGGACGGTGGCATTTTGAGACCTTTTCAAAGACTCTAGACAGCTTGACAGCTATTTTTTTTATTAATTCCCACTGCAAAACTAAACGCATATAAATATTTGTTGATAATATATTTATAATTGTATGTATGTACCTTGAGACTGTTAAAATATTTACTTAAAAGTATGTACGTACAATAATTAAAAAGGAGGTTTATTTAATTCGATTCTAGTTACATTTAAATGCGTTTAGCTTTACATTTAATCTCAGAATATATGATTTTTTTTTCATTTGTTATGAAAAATTCTCTTATTATTTTATTTTTCGTAACAAGAATTATATTATCTAGCGTTACACACATATTTGTGGTTTATTTAATGCATAATTAGACATAGTGAATGTTTGATTGTGTATTTGTATACAAAGGAATATCGTAATTTAATTATCGTAAAGTGTATCTAACTCTGAATGAAGAAATAATAATAATTATTATATAAAGATATAATAATAGGGATAGAGTTTTTATTAAGGAATAAATAAAAAAGTTATAAAAGTGTAGCAAGTTAAAGATCACACGGTTTCAGCCGAACGGAACTTATTTAAACATAGGATTCTTTTTTTATTAATTTTAACGGTTTTTTTTTAAAGATGTAACTTGTTATTTATTTCAAATGATTATTAATTATTATTATTATTGATGTTTTTTCGCCTCTGTAGATTTTCGTTTTAAGTTGTAATATAGGATACATTATACTGCCCGTTTTGTATTTTTCGTTGTTTTTATTTTGAAGTAATAAAGTACATATTATGGCGAATATGTTGAAGCGATGGAAAAATGCAAATCATAATTATATTTAATTTTAAGTCGAGTAACAGTCGTGCGATGAACAAAATTTTTTTAATGAGAAACCCCTTCAGGTGTAATCAAATTTTCTCGGACAAAAAATCTTGTTTTTTTTTGTAATAATTAGCAGGCAATTTTAATTTTTTTTTCTTAGTTTTTTTTTTCATTTTCTCGCGCGTAGACTTTATTGATCTCATTTTTTGTTTCTTAATCTTTGCTTAGGTGCCATTTGGAGTTATGTCACATTTTCGCATAATAAGACGAATCAATAACAATTAAAACTTAAAAAAAACTACAATTGAATGCATAATAAAAAGACCTGTTGTATTTTATCCGTTGATACGTAAATTTTATTTTTGACATTTTGTATTTTTGTTTTTTTTTTTTTGTATTTTTAGCTTTTTTGTGCAACTTAAATACGTATGATATATATATTGATTTAATTTAAATTGCCTGCTACTAATAATTAGGTTTATGGAGTAATCGAACGTCAGTTTTCTAACACTATACTAAGTTGTCGAATAGCCTTTACTATAGACTGGATTATAATTAATGTTATAAAAAAAGTATAAATCTTAACTTGTATTTTGTAAATAGTTATTAATCATATGTATTTTTTATTAAATATTATGAGGTTTAATGGGTTATCTTTATTTTTTCATTCTTTTAAAACAAATCCAAATATCGAAACACTTTTCATTTTGACTTTGAAATAACATCTTCATGGTCATTCGAAAATGTTGTTTTTTTTAACCTTTTTTCCATATATTTTTTGTTAATAAAGCAGTCTGTTATTGCCTAGTTTGTTTTATTTTTTTAGTTCCTTATTTTCCTTTTTTTAGTTTTATTTTTGAAGTTTTGGTTTCATGATTTTTAGTTTCTGATAAAATAAGATAATCTTAATAGTGAGATCATATAGATAAAACATACGGGTGGTTCAAATGTTAATTTTAAACATAATAATAATAAAGTACATTTTAATTTCTATTAAAACTCAGATATATACGTAGAAATAATTAATTTTAATATTTCCACAACTATTAGTATATATGCAATACAGTTTTTAAAGAGTGTGTCAACTCTTCTTTCGCAAAAAATAAAAAAAATATGTAAAAAACTAGGCGCACACTTTAGATTATTTAGAAATTATGTTTAGCTTCTAAATGGGAATGTCCAATTTGTAAATTATTATTTCACATTGTAACAAAATAAGAATAAAATAATATATTACACTATGTCAACCAATAGCTGTTATTTATAAAAAAAATCTAATACTTATGTACCTATACAACACGATAAAGTTCAAAGTAACAATAATATGTGATTTTTTTTCGTTTTTTTTAGTTTTTTCAATATATAACTGAGAATTGGACATTTCCAATGAAAGGTTACAAAATAAAGTTAGTAACAAAAACGAAAATATTGGTGAAAACGTTTTAGAGCACTAAGACTGAAAAAATTGGCTGAAAATACCTATTACCTTCGCTTATCGACAAAAGATTAAAAAAGACACCAAAAGCAATAAAATACTATTGCTAACATTGCAAAAAAATACAAAAAAATATCTAATTAGCAACAGATTCTTGACTCTAAGATTCAAATGTAACCGTTGAGACCGGCCATGGAACACGAATTTATTTATTTGAAAATAAATCGTAAAGGGTTTTCTACACACTTGCGATTTTCCAACAAATATGTATTGAACTTTTTATTTTTAACATTCTAAATGTATTATGATTGTTCTTCAGTGTGTCTACAGAATATTTTATTTTTTTATGTCATCTTTAAATTAATAAAAAACTTAAAGGCTGAATATAAATTAATTAGATGTTTAATGAAAGCAATATGTTTTCAGTATTGTTTTTCAGAGATTTGAATGTATTATTAATTATAATTTGATTTTTGCGTGTTTCAGTAATACTTATTACATTGGTCTGTATCTAATTGTGACTTAAAGAATTTAAGGTGAAATAATTTTTGTTGGTTAAATATTTGTGAGATGGCATTGTAAGCAAAGATCGTTCGCAGTCTGTCATATAAAGATTTAAAAAAAAACGCAAGTTGCAAAAAAGTCGCAAGTGTTTTAAATCCCTAAAAATAATGCCGTGTCCACAACTTTGTGCAATACTTAGACTTGATTGGTGCAAATCGAAGGGTGAAGAGAGTCGCTCTATGCCTCTCTTTCGCACTTAAGCGTTGAATGTCAGTGCGATAGTGATAGTTATATAGGGTAACGTTTTACTTGCTGGTAGTTTTAGTAGGTATTTCTAAAACTTTTGTACTATGTTTTGCAAAATTTTCACTAAAAAACTTAATATAGATTTGGACACGTAAAGGATAGAATAAAAAAAAATGTATTTTGGAAAAAAGCAAGCATGATGTTAAGGGAATATAAGGTATCGGGTGTCTGTGTGTTTTTTACAAAAATTGGTTCGATTTTATTATTAGTATATTATATTATATAAAAAGTAAAAGTCTTTTTTTAATTTCTATTTAATTCTTTTCTAAGAGTATTCTATTTTGTAAAACGGTACCTACGACTTTACGGGTATCTAAAAAATCATTATCTATAAATAAATAGTTGAAAAAAATAAAACAAATAAAAAGAAATAAAATTTTTGTACCTCTTGTTTTTCTATGAGATGATTTATATTATCAAAAAAATATTAATTTGTTAACGAAATAATTAAGTATTTTTACACATTACCTGAACATATGAAGAGTAACAAATATATGAAGATAATTAATAAAAAAAAACATAATAATAAATAATAATATATCTACATATATGTAAAGAACAGAAATATATTAAAAATACATATTTTGTATGCGCGGTGCGATCGAAAATTGCAACAGATATAAAAATTGTGACAGGTAACAAAGTTTTTATTACAATTTTTTTTATTTATTTTTTTGTGAAAAAGTTTTCGATTGTGTCGCGCATCGGCTTTGTTGGTTTATGAACTCAAATACAAAAAAATACATTGTACCTATGTACCTAAGTAGTTAATGGTGAATTTTGAGAACCAATAGTAAATAAATGTTATTGTTTTAATTATTATTATTCTCGAATCACTTGCAAATGCGTTGTTGTTTCATTTATTATACCTTTACCTTTATGTTCCTGACGTCACATCGGGCTCACGACCATAGGTGGCCCGTGACCGCTGAAATTGGCGGTTCGGTTCGGTTCAATCAGTCACTTAGGCTAAGGGCTCACGTAGTGATTTTCTCCCGCGCCCACCGCAGTGGACCGCAGTGTTTGTAAAATACAGATATGTATGTAAAAAATTAAAGCACGGGCGCTGTCAAATGGGACTGGTCAGCTCCAGACTGTATTAAACTGTCAAACACCAAGCGGTCACCGGTGACCGCGACCTATTGTTCTTTAATTGTGTCTATAAAACCGGTACTCGACGAGTTAAATTTGTTGTCCTCAAGGTTATTTTCTTTTCCGTCTCCTTGACAAAATATTGGTATTACATTGTTCTCACATTATTGAACTCAACGAAAGAATGTAACCAAAAATTGTATTGTGAACATGATTGAAAAAGAGCAACCTATGGAGTTTCTTGCTCGTTCTTCTTTTTATGTGATAAGCCGGTAAACGGGCAGACGGATAACCTGATGGTAAGCAATCGACGACAGCCATGGACACCTGGAACACCAGAGGCGTTACAAGTGCGCTACCAGCCTTTTGGGAATTAGGAATTTTAGGATTGTGGGGGATTCGCGGATAGGGAATATACATATAAAAAGTAATATAAAATAAAATAATAAAAAAACAAAAATGTTCATAAATAAATAATGTTCAATTTCGAGTATTCGATTTTTTAAAGCTTAATGATTAAATAAAAGTCACTGTTTAAATAAATATATCTTTATTTAGGTTTTTGAGATTAATTTGTAATAAACACGGAGGTCACACATCACAATTCAAATCACTATTAGAATGCTTATCATCATCATCAACAGCCTATAAATGCCCACTGCTGAGCAAAGCCTCTTCTCACACGGAGAAGGTTTGAGCATTAATCACCACGCTTGCTCAATGCAGGTAGGCGACTACTCATAGATTAACTAATATTAAACATAGGTAAAAATCAATCTCATCAACACACATTTACAAAAATAAATCAGAAAATTTATTCATATTTTTTAGTTTTTAGTTTACGAAAATTTTACTTTGTTTTGTTTTAGTTTCTCTTGGCCCCAAATGAATGAATGTAGTTTCCATTGGGCAAAGTATAAGGCTAGGCCTATCAGAAATATTAAACCTAAGAATATTGGGAAATATATTGTTCCATAGGTCATTGTGAAAATTGGGTACGGAAAAAGTCCACGCTGGTTGTATGTGTGAAGTACTCTGAAAAAAGAAAAAAATAACGATTGACTAAATTATTGTTATTATTACTTAACCCCTCGAGCGTCCTTATGAGCACCCGGTGGATCATAAGAAAAATGCTCCATGCTGCTTTCTCTTTTATAAAATCTATTATTAATGTTTTGTTTTTATTTTGACTGGTTGCTGGACCCTGGTTTTCGTGTGCCAATGGTCAAATAAATTCATTTTCTTTCTTACTTTCTCTAAATGTAACGTGTGCACCCGTTGGATCATAAGGAACGCGGACGCTCGACGGGTTAAAAAAAAGGTTGCCCCACACTAGAATTTTCTTCTATGTCGTAGGTGCGTTTACAAACATACAAGTTCACATACACATCACTAATAGGTTAGGCAGCGCATTCGACGAAAGACATTTTAAGACTCATTTTTCTACACCTTCAGTTACATTGTTCAAATTTTACCATGGATCCCTAATATTTTTCAAAATGAAATGTAGCCTATGTCAAATTGGAAGAATGTAGCATTCTATTGGTGAAATATGTTTTTTAATCGGCCCAGTACTTTTTGAGCCTATTCATTACAAACATATAAACATACAGAAATAGGTACAAATCTTTCCTCTTTATAATATTAGTATAGATATACAATGGCGGAATTAATGCCTAATCGCATTCTCTAATACTGCGGCTTAAAGCAAGAGTTGTAAACGGGATTGACTATAATCAGTAAGAGTCTGACACTCCTGGCTTCACGCGTCAGCCATTTATCAGTTGGAGTCATTTGGTGAAGTACTCCCTTCAAAAAAGGGGGTAACAGAATATTAATAAAACCCTAGCTATCCTTATCCTTACTAATATTATAAATCGGAAAGTGAGTTGGTTTGTTTGTTTGTTTGTTCCGCTTTCACACCTTAACTACTAAACCGATTGCTTTGAATTTTTGCAGACGTAAAGTTAAAAGTCCGAATTAAATAATAGAGTACTTTTTATCCCGGAAAATTTGATATTCCCGAGGTAAAACCAAAGTATTGGTATAGATGGGACTGTGTGTATCGGTATATGTCACATAGGCTACTTTTTATCCTTTTGTGACGCGAGCGAAGCCGCGGGTAAAAGCTAGTAAAAAATAAACATTAAAATAACTAAAAATCGCGAGTTTCTCACGTGACAATACTGAGAAAATCTCTACTAGATTACGTGGCGATATCGTGTTATCGCTGTTCATGAGGTATAAGCCCTTCCGTGGCTCGAAACTAGTAGAGCTTTTCTCAGTATATTCACGTGAGTAACCCGCGATTTTTAGTTAATTTAGTATGTCACAATAGTTATTAGAAAAACAAAAATAAAAAAATACTCACACAGCCATATAAACGACGAACAAGGTGATTATAATAGCTAGATTGTACCGATGTGTCTTTGGCACGGGACGGGGTAAGAAAGCCAGCTCCCACAATGCAGCGGGTAATATACAAAAATGCATTATAAAGTTAGATTTAAACGAAAATATCTTGTCTATGAACTCCGGGAATAGCAGTTCTCTATTTATTATAAAAACTGGCCAAAATACCACGAAGATAACCTGTAACAGAAATAATATTGGTTAGATCGTAGTATGAAACTGCCTCGTTGGCCGAGTGGTCGTAAATGCGACTGCCGGGCGAGCGGGCGAAGTATTACTGGGTTTTACATATTCTCAGTAGTAGCACGGGGTTTGGAATTGTGCCCGATATATGGCAATAGACGCACCCCCTATTACATGGGACTCATAACATAAATAGTGAAAAGTGGGTGTTACATTGTACAGTGGTATAATGTGCACCTTTGCCTACGACTTCGAGGATAAAAGGCGTTATGTTATGTTATCGTAGTATGAAGCCAATGATACAGGGGACAAATGTCCTGGGACACATGTCGCTAGCGACGTCGGGTGAAGTAGTGCGACGTTGCCAGACTTCGGTCGACATAACTGGCAACATCGCGCGACAGGGTCCACAGCGATGTTGATGTTTACAGACTTTTTTATAGATAGCTACTAGCGGACCCGACAGACGTTGTCCTGTAATAATAGGTATAGATGAATAACCTAGAAACCGACTGCAGCGCCATCTGCCGGGCTGATTTGTGAATCTAAACCATTCTCGGATCCCCTTGAACACACACAAAAATTTCATCAAAATCGGTCCAGTCGTTTGAGAGAAGTTCAGTGACATACACACTCACAGAAGAATTATATATATATATAGAGATATTTGACTCCCTCTTTAGCCGAGTGGTCGCAAGTGCGACTGCTAGGCAAGGGGTCTCGGGTTCGATTCCCGGGACTGGCAAAGTACCACAGGTTTTTTAAAAAATCTCAGTATTAGCACTGAGTCTGGAATTGTGCCTGGTATATGGCAATAGGCAATAAATATTGATTAAACATTAAAAGATATTAAAATAAACTTAACCTTGTAAAATTACAGAAAAGTTATCTAAATTAGGAGCTCTTTAATAAGAGCTACTGAACTGCTTCTAGGAGCTAATGAACTCACCGCGGCAACAGGGAATATTATTGAGCTGAAATAAGTCTGTCGGAACCGTCTGATGTTCTTGGAGACCAAATGCTCTCGTCCTGTGACGGTGAGGAGGTCACAGGTCAATGCCAGCGAGAAATATGACATTTGGAAGGCCTGGAAAAGAAAAGAAAATATTAAAATTAAGTTGAAGATATCTTAACTGCATACTTCGGACATTATAGTTATACTTCTAACAAGTCAAGACTGCCTCGTTGGCCGAGTGGTCGCAAGTGTGACTGCCAAACAAGTGGTGTCGGGCCCGAGTCCCGAGACCTGACGGACAAAGAACCGACTATTGGATTTTTAAAGGAATTCTCAGTAATAGCACGGAGTCTGGAATTGTGGCGGTATATGGCAATAGACTCACCCCCTATTACATGGGACTCATAACATAAATAGTGAAAAGTGGGTTTTACATTGTACAGTGGCATTAAGTGCCGTAATGTGCACCTCTGTCAACCCCGTCGAGGATAAAAGGCGTGATGTAATGTATGTTATGTTAGTTAAATAAAAACTTACAATAAAAAGCAGTATGTAGTTACTTACAATATTCCACACAGTCAGGTACATACTCTGCAATGACGTCATCTTTCTGACATCCAGGTCTCTCATGATGCTCTCATCCTTCATGGAGAGGAACATCACCAAGGAGTTGCCAGTGTGCAGTGATAGGATCACTGCATGCCCCAGCATTCGGTAGTAGATTGATGATGACATGGTCTGGAAATGATAAATGAAGAGGTGAAATTTAAATGCCTATGTATGCCCTCTTGGTTTAGTGGGCTCAAGTGCGCCTGTTGAATAAGGAGCCTTGGGCCCGATTTCTAGATCAGCTCTAGTTTCATTCGGTGGCGGTGTGTCCTGCGTGGACTGAGCACCGCCGTGTCCTCAGGAATGTGATCGGCGCCGGCGACCTCTCGCGTCCGGCTTTGGTTCAGACCATGGTACGGAGCGAGCGGGACTGGGATGCCGTGTTCTCCTTCTGCGAAGCAGTCATGCTAGCTAAGGAGGAGGCGGAGCGCGTGAGGGAACGAACCTCCTCACGACCCGGCCGTCGCGAGAGACACTCCGGGCATCGGGGATCGCGAGACGATCTCCGGCCACCGTAAGCACGGGCCTGCGGTGCGGACGGCGAGCATGGGTGACTCGCCGCCCGACCAGAACCAGGCCCGCAGTACGGCGCGTCGCGATCCGCGCGCGCCACGAGGAGCCATCAGACTACCACAGATGGGGCCTAACAGGGCTGGTGCCGATATGGAGCCGCGGAAGACTTAACGAGTTGCCGGGGCTCCGGCTCGAAGTGCAGGAGTAGGAACAAGGTGGTTTTTAGTCAGTAAGAGTCTGACACTCCCTCCTGCCTCACCCGGGCGTGAGAAGTCATTGGATTATTTTACCCCTCAAAAAAAGCTCTAGTTTCATTGAGGGTTTAAATAGTACCTACAAATGTTATTTTCATTGGTAGGTGCTTGGTCACTGATTGATGGTACGCGACAATGAGGCGTACAATGGAGTACGTCAACATAAGCAACCTATTCAATCGGGTCTTGAAGACACCCTTCAGAAAAATGACTGTCGGCGCATTAGTATTCTTTTTTAATCATCGAATGTCTGCTCCCGCCTGGGTGAGGCGGGAGGTAGTGTCAGACTCTTACTGACTAAAAACCACCCCGTTCCTTCTCCTGCACGTCTAGCCGGAGCCCTGGTTACCCGTTAGGTTCTACGCAACCGGCGCATTAGTATGGCTATCGACCATAGAGTAAATACCCTCGGCCGCGTGAGAAAAGTAAAAGGCATGCTTTTTTCTCTTAGGACCACATACGGTAATGAACGGCTAAAATTATCTAAAGCAATCAATTAATTTCCTATTATTCCCAATCCCTGAATGGCCAACAATCCTCAAATTATTGACCTTAACTAGCCTCTGGTGCTCCGTGTCCATGGGCGACGCCGATTGCTTACCATCAGGTGATCTGTCTACTCGTTTATCGACTTATACCGTAAAAAAACTAATATCGAACTGTTTATTTACAAAGAGCGAACTATTAACCGTTTAAACTGTCAAACACCAAGAGGACACCGGTGACCGCAACCTATTGTTCTTTAATTGTGTCTATAATGACGGTACTCGACGAGTTAATTAGTCATATTCACAATTAATTAATCTTTCTCCACGATACATATAATTAAATGTAATCAAGAACCACAGACTTCACATACACGGCTAGTTCAGGCACATTTTATGATTGAGTAATTATTGGATATCATACATTGACTATTTCATAACGGAAATGGCATCGTACACCGTTACATTACGATCTCCGGTCACCGTAAACACGGGCCTGCGGAAGGCGAGCATGGATAGCTCGCCGCCCGACCAGAACCAGACCCGAAAGTGCGGCGCTTTGCGCTCTGCGCGCGCCTCAGTGAGCCATCAGGCCACCACGGATGGGGCCCAATAGGGCTGATGCCGATACGGAGCCGCGGTGGACTTAACGGGTTACCGGGGCTCCGGTTCTAAGGGCAGGAGTAGGAACGGGGTAGTTTTTAGTCAGTAAGAGTCTGACACTCCTCCCCGCCTCATCCAGGCGGGAGAAGTCATTTGATGATGTTCACCCCTTACAAAATATAAAAATAAATATCGTTATATTGTCATTTAAATATAAGCTTTAAATCGTATGTCGGTCGAGTGAGGTTACCGGAGGCCCTTCCCCAATCTCCCCAATTCCTGAATCCCCAACCACCCTCAAACTCCTAATCCCCAAAAGGCCGGTAACGCACTTGTAACGCCTCTGGTGTTCTAAGTGTCCATGAGCGACGCCGATTGCTTACCATCAGGTGATCCGTCTGCTCGTTTACCGGCTTATACCATAAAAAAAACAGATTGGGCTTCGTTTTTTTAAAATAAAAATCATTTTTTTTGCAAAAACAGATTGCGGAACTTATAAAATGTGATTGGACCTTGGTCTACTAGTTAGTATGTAGATAAGTTCAGCCACCCAACTCGAATACGTGATCATAGTTTATTTATTTTATTTATTTATTTATTTACTAGCTTTTACCCGCGGCTTCACTCGCGTCACAAAAGGATAAAAAGTAGTCTATGCGGCATATACCAATACACACAGCGCCATCTATACCAATACTATTGTTTTTCATCGGGAATATCAAATTTTTCCGGGTTTAAAAGTACCCTATTATTTAATCCGAACTTCTAACTTTACGTCTGCAAAAATTCAAAGCAATCGGTTCAGTAGTTACGGTGTGAAAGTGGAACAAACAAACAAACAAACTCACTTTCCGATTTATAATATTATTATAGTAAGGAAGTAAGGATTTGGAGGTACATAGGCACTACACATTCCCGTAGGAATCTCTTCCTGCAGTCCTACGACAGGAAAAACAGTAAAAACTAAGACACTGTGTGTAACATAGCATGAACAAAAAAAAAACAAAAATTACTAAAATTTAAGCCAATAAGTACTTAAAACTACATACACAAAATATATAAGGTCTAACAAAAATAGTGCACAATATTTTAATAGGTGATATAGTACAGTCAGCATCAAAAGTTGATGACTACATTTAAAATTTCATAATCGCTGTACACCGTATTATACCTAATTCGCTCAACATGGTGTTCAGTGACATTTGACGAGTAGTGTTCAGTTAATTTTGAACATTAAAGATGTTCATTCAATACTAGCGCCCTCTCTTGTTAAGCGATTTATGGGTGATATAATGTACAGTGATTTTGAAAATTTGAATGTGGTCATCGACTTTTGATGCTGACTGTACATGATAAGGATTATGTTTACCTAAAAAAAAATGTAAACAACAACATGTTTAAGTCACAATGCACCGCGGTTGCCTACTAGCGGCTGGCGGTTTCTTTTGTCGGCACGTTTGAAAAATAAAAGAGATAGCATTAGACATGCATTAGACTAATGTTGTCGCTCGCACAGGACGCGCTGATTGGAAATAGGTACATATTGCAGGATGGCATTATAAAAAGCAATGAAAATAATAAATGAATAATCTGAATTATTAAAAATAATTGACAAGGTTTTATAAAATAATTTCATAAAACAATGATGTTTATCACATACTAATTGACCTACTAAAATATTGTGCACTATTTTTTTACACCTTATATATACCGATAAATAACGTATTGAATAAATAGATCTCAATAAAATACATAGATATACGACGTTTAACTGACGGTAACAACCACTCGACAGTGTTGTTATTTAACAATTACTACCAGTTGGATATCGGTGAAAGGAAGCCATTTTTACACGATTTAATTAAATTAAAAATAGATTTTAAACAACACAGCAAACCTATAGAATGATCTGTCGTCGGCGGTATTTCCGAATACGACCTTCAAACCTTCAAGAAAAGGGCGTATTCCTTTTTAAAATGTCGGCAACGCACCTGTGACTCCTCTGGTGTTGCGAGTGTCTGTTGGCGGTGCTGATTGCTTACCATCAGGTGATCCGTCTGTTCGTTTGCTTCCTATTCCATAAAAAAACTATACATCGATTAGCTATTTAGCTACTACCTCTAGATTATATAAATATAACATCATGCCTTTTATCCCCGAAGGGGTAGGCAGAGGTGTAAATTATGCTATGGTACAATGTAACATCCACTTTTCACTATTTATGTTGAGTCCAATGTAATAGGGGGTGAGCCTATTGCCATATACCGGGCACAATTCCAGGCTCCGTGCTACTACTGAGAATTTTTTAAAACTCCAGGGATACTTTGCCCGTCCCGGGAATCGAACCCATGACCCCTTCCCCTGCAGTCGCAGTTGCGACCACTCGGCCAACGAGGCAGTCTACTAGATTACATAGATTAGATATACAGGTAAGGTACGTAGTCTTCTGCCCACCCTGGGGATTGCAGTTTACCCGGGTACGACAAACCCGTATTAACGAACTTACGAATTATTGAAAGGCTACTCAATTTTAAATTGCATTTAAATATCGTGCTATCTCTGTCATTCTACAAAGAGTTTGTTGTGACAGTAGTATACTTAACCGCGACTTCAAATTCAGTACTCGAGCGTTACATGTGTCGAAAAATTCATCTTCAAAAATGTCTGAGCAAAATTTTATCAAAATCAGTCCAACAGTTTATGAACAAACGTGGCATTTACCTAATTGTAATTTATTTTAAGATAAGACAGCGATTAGTACAGTTTTATCTAGTTTATGTAATATGCATCGTTATATTAGATTTATAATAAGGACGTTGAAAAAAAGGTGAACATAATGTCAACGGGTTATTAATTTTAAGTGTGGGAGAGCCATGCTTCTGCACGAATGGGCCGGTTCGACCGGAGTGATACCACGGCCTCACAGAAAACTGACGTGAAGCAACGCTTGCGTTTTGTTTCTTTGTGTGAGTGAGGTTACAGGAGGCTCTACTACCCCTCGCACCTTGGCCAATCTCCCCAATCCCTGAATCCCCAACCTTCCACAAATTACTAATCCCCAAAAGGCCGGTAACGCAATTGTACTGCCTCCGGTGTTCCAGGTTTCTATGGGCGACGCTGATTGCTTACCATTAGGTGATCCGTCGCACGTTTACCGGCTTATACCATAAAAAAATTACAGATTTCCTTCGTGTCAATGTGTGTGTGTATTCTACGTGTAAGTCTATAGTACCCAGGTGCCACAGTCGTTGTTTAAAGAGACTATCCGCGTTTCTTTCAACGTCTTTGATTTATAAAAAACTAGCAGCCCGTCCAGGCCGGTAGGTCCGGCAGGGGTAGACAATTATTTATTTTTGGAAATTTGGATTGTTGTAGTGACATAACTACAATAATTGGAGATATGCTACCGCGGAGTTTTTTGTAGACATTATGATGTTCTTCAATATTGTTGTACATTATTTTGTTCTATCGCTAATAGTTTCGGCAGCGCATTCGACGAAAGACATTTTAAGACTCATTTTTCTACACCTTCGGTTACATTGTTCAAATTTAACCAAGGATCCCTAATTTTTTTCAAAATGAAATGTAGCCTATGGCAAATTGGAAGAATGTAGCATTCTATTGGTGAAAGAATTTTTTAAATCAGCCCAGTACTTTTTGAGCCTATTCATTACAAACATACAAAAATAGGTACAAATCTTTCCTCTTTATAATATTAGTATATATTATTTGCAGTACCTAGGTCAGACTTTGGAATTGTATCGGATGTACGGCGATAGGGTCACTCCCAGTTGGGAATGGTACCTATAACAAGTCTCCGAATATGCCTACCACAATTGCCATCAGTACTTCAATTATGTCACCGGCTGACTGCCACTTCAGCGTGCTAATCCTTTGAGCTATTTTTTTAAGAGGGGTAAGTCATACAATGTCTCCTCCCGCCTGGGTGAGGCGAGAGGGAGTATTAGACTCTTACTGACTAAAAACCACCCCGTTCCTACTCCTGCTTTGAGCCCCCCCTGGTGAGGCGAGAGGGAGTGTCAGACTCTTACTGACTAAAAACCACCCTGTTCCTACTCCTGCTCTGAGCCCGCCTTGGGTGAAGCAGGAGGAAGTGTCAGACTCTTATTGACTAAAAACCACCCCGTTCCTACTCCTGCTTCGAGCCCGCTTTGGGTAAAGCAGGAGGGAGTGTCAGACTCTTATTGACTAAAAACCACCCCGTTCCTACTCCTGCTCTGAGCCCGCCTTGGGTGAAGCGGGAGGGAGTGTCAGACTCTCATTGACTAAAAACCACCCCGTTCTTACTCTGAGCCTTAACCTGTTGATCAATTCTTTATGCTATGTCATTAACTGGTTCTCTGTCGGATCACGTTGGTTCGGATATTCTGAGTTTAGGGGATCCTACAGAGATTTCTCGAAAATCTCATCAGTATTTTTTGTGAATATAGTACTTAAATGAAAACCAAGAAAATCTAACAATATTTTTCATAATTAAACTTTTGTGAGACAAACTAATTAATTATTATGTTTTCGGCTTAATCACGTAACTGTTTGACGAAGAACTCGACTGGTTTAATGATGATTATAATGATCATGATTATGAGCCTCTAGCATGGCTTGAAACTAGTCGAGTTCCTCGTCAACCATAATAATTAATTAAGATTTTTTATACATTTGTACTCGTAGACTGCCTCGTTGGCCGAGTGGTCGCAAGTGCGACTGCCGGGCAAGGGGTCTCGGGTTCGATTCCCGGGTCGGGCAAAGTATTACTGAGTTTTTTAAAATCTCAGTAGTAGCTCGGAGTCTGGAAATGTGCCCGGTATATGACAACAGGCTCACCCCCTACTACATGGGACTCATAACATAAATATTAAAAAATGGGTGTTACATTGTACAATGGCATTAAGTGCCGAAATGTGCACCTCTGTCTACCCCTTCGGGGATAAAAAGGCGTGATGTTATGTATGTATGTATGTCATACTCGTTTAGAAAATATTTTTATTTTAGTATTTAAAATTAGATATATGAGCTTAATGTTATGAATGTCCTTCAAAATATACCTCTAATGTTGTTATATAATTAACATTAACATATGAATTATACAAGTTTGTAGGTAGACACAAAAACTTGAGGTCTGTTTTTATATGACTACATGTTGCAACATTTTAAGTTAGTAACACAAAAACTACTGCAACAAATTTGATGTAACTTAGCAGATAGATAGGTTATAGTATGAATTATAATATTGTGTGCATCGTACACTAGGATTTTCTTCTATATTGTGGGTGCTTTACAAAGTGTGGGAGAGCCATGCTTCGGCACGAATGGGCCGGCTCGACCGGAGTGATACCACGGCCTCACAGAAAACCGACGTGAAGCAACGCTTGCGTTGTGTTTCGTCGAGTGAGTGAAGTTACTGGAGGCCCAATAACATCCCCTTCCCCAATCTCCCCAATCCCTGAATCCCCAACGATCCTCAAACTCCTAATCCCCAAAAAGCCGGTGACGCACTTGTAACGCTTCTGGTGTTCCAGGTGTCCATGGGCGACGCCGATTGCTTACCATCAGGTGATCCGTCTGCTCGTTTACTGGCTTATGCCATAAAAAAAAACATACAAGTTCACATACACATGATACCCAGGGTTCAAAGGGCAAGAGTTTTTTTTTTAAGGGGGTAAATCATCGAATGCCTGCTCCCGCCTGGGTGAGGCGGAAGGGAGTGTCAGACTCTTACTGACTAAAAACCACCCCGTTCCTTCTCCTGCACGTCGAGCCGGAGCCCCGGTTACCCGTTAGGTTCTCCGCGACTCCGAATCGGCAAGGGCAAGAGTAGGAACGGGTGGTTTTTAGTCAGTAAGAGTCTGACACTCGTTCCTGCCTCATCCAGGTGGGAGAAGTGAGTCGATGATTTTCACCCCTTATAAACAAGGACCTGGAACAACAATTTGTGTATCACACAAAGAGTTGTACCGTACGGGTATCGAGCTCACTACCCGTGGCAGCTGTGGCAGCTGTGCCAACAGTGCAGTGGTCGTTTCATCTTCATCCACAATCTGTGACAGTCCTCTGCTAGACAATGAACCTCCTCTACAGAAGAGAGGGTCAACCGTCTGTGTATCTTCACGTTTGGCAAATGTGAGACTCAATTTTGAACCGACTTCAAAAAAACATAACATAACTTCAGCGGTAACTTCTTCAGCGGTGCACATTACGGCACTTAATGCCACTGTACAATGTAACGCCCACTTTTCACTATTTATGTTATGAACGTAACATAATATCACGCCTTTTATCCCCGATGGGGTAGGCAGCGGTGCACATTACGGCACTTAATACCACTGTACAATGTAACACCCACTTTTCACTATTTATGTTATGAGTCCCATGTAATAGGGGGTGAGCCTATTGACATATACCGGGCACAATTCCAAACTCCGTGCTACTACTGAGATTTACAAACGAACGAACGAACAGGAACCAACTTATAATATGCGCAAGGATTATAATTATGTTATAGGTAACATTTCTTATTTTTATTTTTTAAGGGGGAAAGTCATCGAATGACTGCTCCCGCCTGAGTGAGGCGGGAGGGAGTGTCAGACTCTTACTGACTAAAAACCACCCCGTTGCCTCCTGCACTTCGAGCCGGAGCCCCGGTTACCCGTTAGGTTCTCCGCGACAACATTTCTTATTTACTACTCTTATACAAGTACTAGCTTCTGCTAGCGGCTTCGCCCGCATTCTAGAGTTATAAAAAGTAGCCTAAATGTTATTCCAGACCATAATCTAATATTGTTACAAATTCCATCCCAATCCCTTCAGCGGTTTTGATGTAATCGAGTTACAAACTCACACACAAACTCACAATTTTTCGCATTTATAATATATATATACCTCGTTATACCACTTATAACTCAAGAACGGCAGAATAGATTTGGCTGAAAATTGGTAGGGAGGTAGCTTAGACCCAGGAGACCGACATAGGATACTTTTTAACCAATACTTTTTTCCTTTTTACCGAAAATCACGAACGGGGACGGGAAAAAACGGGATTACGCGTACGAAGTCACGGGCAGAAGCTAGTATTTAAATAATAGTAAGATTCGCGAAAAATAAACTTTGAAATACACTCACCGGTTATTAGTATTATACTATTAATAATAATTATTGTTATTATACACTAACACTGAATAAGAAACTAATTTTAAAAATAAATAAATAATTTTATAACGACACAGTAATAAGTAATAGTAGGTTTCGCGAAAAATAAACTTTGAAATACACTCACCGATTATTAGTAATAACTATAATTATTATTATACTCTATCACTGAATAAGAAACCAATTCTAAAAATAAATAAATAGTTTATAACGACACATGTAATCACAACCGGTTGTGATGTCTGACTAACTGATTTCCTTAGGTAAGATAACGGGTAGACGTACTGTGAACATTGGTATTGTCACGGAGAATTATTGTAGACCATTTTATTGTATTTTGTTTACTAGCAATTTCCACGCGGTTTCGCCCGCTCGCTATTGATCGTAGCGTGATGTACTATAGCCTATAACCTTCTTTGATAAATGCACTATCCAACACAACGAGATTTATTCAAATTGGACTAGTAGTTTCTGAGATCAACGCGTTCAAACAAACAATCTTTTCAGTTTTAGAATAAAAAAAGATTATTAGATTTATTACATGAAGAAATAGTTTTTTTAAGGGGGGAAAGTCATCGCATGACTGCAACCGCCTGGGTAAGACGGGAGGGAGTGTCAGACTCTTACTGACTAAAAACCACCCCGTTCCTTCTCCTGCACGTCGAGCCGGAGCCCCGGTTACCCGCGTTAGGTTCTCCGCGACATGGTCTGGAGGTATAGGGTACTTAGGGTACTTATTACCCCTTGGAACGTGGGCGAAGTGGTAGAAGCCAGTACCTAATAAAGAAGTAGAAAACATTTTATCAGTCAACTTACCTCTAGTATAACTTTGTAAGGGTCAATTGGGATGATGACAGGGTGTGAAAATTAAAAATCTAATTAGTCCGTGAGTTAAGTTATGAAAAAATATTAGACACGTATTTTTTTATTTTGTCGTATAATAAAACAATACTTAGATAAAATGAATCAAAGTTTAGGAGTGGGGGCTTTTTTTAAGGAGGGAAAATCATCGAATGACTGCTCCCGCCTGGGTGAGACGGGAGGGAGTGTCAGACTCTTACTGACTAAAAACAACCCCTTTCCTTCTCCTGCACGTCATTTCTACGTATAAAATTTACATAGAAGTGACGTCACGCGACATTTTAATCAATATATCGTCGGAAGTATTCGTTTCTGTAAGAAAATAAAAATTTCGTGTCTAATGATTTAAAGTAATCTATCAGACGGACATTAAAATAAAAATTAGGCATCTACCCTATTGTAAACCAGTGTAGGAACTTATTGTACCCAGCTCATACTGAGTTGGCAAGCCCTTTTAGCCATGTTGTTTTTTTAATTATATTATTTTAATTACGTCACGCTACCCTATAAAATGTAGTAAATCGTGACGTCACACGATATTTCAAATCAATATATCGTCGAAAGTGTTTAATTTTGTAAAAAAAGAAAAATACGTGTGTAATGTTTTAAAATAATCTATCAGACGGACATTAAAATACTATAGGATACTACTATAGGTGTAATAGACAACTCGTAACTAGAGAAAAATGTAATAAGTATGTCTAAAGGGCGAGTTTTAATTGTAATAATAAATAATGATTTACCCATTGTCTATTGTTTTAATTATCTTAGGATGAGAATCTTAGCAATTTATGAATGGCGATGGGCATTCTTAGAGAAGAATTATTTTATTTACCGTCCAGTAAACAGTATAGGTACTGTGAGTGAAGATAGCCGGAACAAATACTTACCTAAACCATCCAATATTTATAAATATATGTTCAATAATGTAACCAAAAATTGTATTGTGAACATGATTGAAAAAGAGTAACCTATGGAGTTTCTTGCTCGTTCTTCTCCATAGGAATCTACACTTTGGAACGAGCAAATAGCTTCACTAGAGGACTGACCTACAGACTGACATTTTTTCTTATTATTTAATATTTAAATATTTTGTTTTGACGTTCAAAAGTGCCTGTACTGGTCTAATTGAAATAAATTATTTTGACTTTTACTTTGACTTCAGCAAAAATGTACGGTTTCAAAATTATATCACATTTTCGCAAATATCGTAAAATCACTATTTTGACACACATCTTTTGTCATGTATTACTGAAATATTATTTTTTAATAAGTTTTGTACATCAAATTACATAACACAACATCACGCCTTTTTTCTCCAAGGGAGAGGTACGCTTCACGTCGGTTTTCTGCTTGGCCGTGGTATCACTCCGGTCGAGCCAGCCCATTCGTGCCGAAGCATGGCTCTCCCACACTTAAATATAAGAAATAAGAGATTTTTTAGGAAAAAGTACTCTTGTCTCAGTTTTCCTAGAACAATTTTCTTGTCGCTCAATCTTTTTTTTCACAGCTGTAAGCTATGCAATGCGTGCTACACAATGTGTCTCGGGTTTAATTCCCGCCCGGAGCAAATCTTTGTGTGATCTACAGATTGTTGTTCCGGGTCTGGTTGTGATGTGTATGTGAACTTGTATGTTTGTAAACACACCCACGACACAGGAGAAAATCCTAGTGTGGGGCAACGTTTTAAAAAACAATAAGACACTGTATTACCCCTTAAGGGAAAATATCCTCTGATCTTTTGGAGATTAACCCTTTGAGTACCGTCATTATAGACACAATTAAAGAACAATAGGTTGTGGTCACCGGTGTCCTCGCGGTGTTTGACAGTTTAAAAACGTTGAAATATTACTAAGAAAATATCACTTTGTAAGCAATTTACGGCAATACCACTATAACACATCGGACAAGTAAATGATAAAATAGTGGGTGTACCTTTCACTTCTGCCTACCCTTTTAAAGTTAAGCGTCCGTTATATTTTCGGTTATATGATAATACTATAAAAAAAACACAGGAAACATTTATACACTTTTGCATTTTCGCTTGTTATTAAAATGTACATATATATTTTTTAAATAAATAAAAAAACTTGATCCGTCTAGAATAGAACGTGTGACCTTTCGCATTTTAATACATAGCGAATGAGTTAAAAATAAATTCTGAATGTGTTTTCCGGTCAAGTTATTTTATACTTATTAATATTAAAAATAACATATTACCAGTCAAAAGAGCAAAAATAATTATCCCAGCCGATACGGTGTCGCGGAGAACTTAACGGGTTACCGGGGCTCCGGCTCAAAGTACAGGAGTAGGAACGGGGAGATTTTTAGTCAGTAAGAGTCTGACACTCCCTCTCGCGTCACCCGGGCGGGAGAAGTCATTGGATAATTCCCCCCCCCCCCCAAAAGGGTGCATAAATCTACATAGGTTACTCAAAACAATAATTATTATTAAACAATAATTATAAATTGCTTACAAAGTGATATTTTCTTAGTAATATTTCAACGTTTTTAAACTGTCAAACACCGCGAGGACACCGGTGACCACAACCTATTGTTCTTTAATTGTGTCTATAATGACGGTACTCAAAGGGTTAATCTCCAAAAGATCAGAGGATATTTTCCCTTAAGGGGTAATATAGTGTCTTATTGTTTTTTAAAACGTTGCCCCACACTAGGATTATCTCCTGTGTCGTGGGTGCGTTTACAAACATACAAGTTCACATACACACGACACCCAGACCCGGAACAACAATCTGTGGATCACACAAAGAGTTGTTCCGTGCGGGAACCCGGTACACGTTGCGCGGCAGTCAGTTGCCCAGCCACCGCGCCAACCGTATAGTCAAAGTCCACTTGGTAGCAAAAAACACGGAGTCATTAACGTTTTTTTCATTTTATTGGACCGTCTATAATTAACTTAGAAAACCACCACCACCAACCCAAACCATTTAACAGATTGATAGTCGCAGTTTACCAACAACTACTTTACTTGGCGGAAGCCCGTAAAGAACATTAGAACCGGCCTTGGAGCCGAGAGCAATAAGGATTGCAAGGAAAATAATAATAATTAAAAATCGTAATTGAAAAACATAATAGACGCATTACTCCTCCATAGAATTTTCGAAAGTTCCCCTTGGTTTCCCTAGGATCCCATCATCAGATCCTGACTTCATGGAAATGGGACCATCTCGGGAGTATACCCTTTCAAACAAAACAAGAATTTTTGAAATCGGTTCACAAACGGCGGAGTACTGCGCGAACAAACAAAAAAAAAAAAAACAATCAGCCGAACATAGTACCTCCTCCTTTTTTTGAAGTCGGTAAAAATAAGCCCGCAAGGCACCTTGAGGCGAGGTGACGGGCATTAGCGACCCCGCGAGCTACCATCATCCCGAGTACTCCGGGGAGAAGTCACCGTTCCTTACTCTCCGGCTTGCCTTAATTGGCTGGCTGGAGTGAACGATGACAAGGAACAGGTCTCCGACATCTGGCTTGCCTTCATTGGCCGTCCAGAGTGGAGTCGCGGGAACAGTGATCCTTCTCGGAGGGTAAGAAACTATTTGTAAGTCGCGACTTCGCGAGTGGGCCAGAGATGCAGGAGGCTTCGGCTGGAGCAGATGATCTGAGTAGAAAGCGGTGGTAGTTTCTTAACCCTTCAGCCACTCACATTCTCGTTGTCCCTCTGTTGCTATATCTAGCAACTATTCCCGGGGCCCGGTCGGTTAGTTGGCGAGTCTCCGCCTGCCATTTTTACGTGTATTAATTACATTGTTTCGGCAGGTGCCATTGTCATTCATAGTTCCCAATTTACCAGTCCACAGCAACCCATCCATAGCCCTACCTTTTTTTTCCATTATTCACAATAGTCCTACACTAACCGGGGACTGTCCTTGGGTGCATTTCCATAGTGCATACAGGGATAGTCGTCGGTTTATATTAAAGTAGTCTAAAGGGCCTCTGCGCAATTGGCTTCGGCCCCTCGTACGCCTCCCAAATGACCGGGACCCTGTGGTCCCGTGAATGGTAAAGACACACAATTAATAAAAATAATATAGCCTTTATTCAGATACGTGTTACAAAATAAAACACATTAAAGACGTAAAACTAAAAATAATGTAAATACGTGTAGAAGTGCTGCCTTGTAGCCTATTTGCAGAAATAAATTCACTTGTTTCACTAGTGCAAAAACTGTCCCACAGAGAGCACTGACCTCTTAACCAATGCCTTTGTGCCTCAATCAAGTGCTAACAAGTGCATAAAGAGTTGACAATAGGAACTGGCGAATATTGAACTATACATACACACTTACACACACACTTTTAAGTGTGGGAAACCCACGCTCCGGCTCGACCGGAGAGATACGACGGCCTCACAGAAAACCAACGTTAAACAACGCTTACATTGGGTTTCGTCGTGTGAGCAGGTAAGGCTACCGAAGATCCAATCTCCCCAAACCCCGAATCCCTAAAAATCATCTTTCTAATCCCCAAAAGGCCGGTAACGCACTTGTAACGTCTCTAGTGTTCCGGGTGTCCATTGGCGACGCCGATTGCTTACCATCAGATGATCCGTCTGCTCATTTACCGGCTTATGCCATAAAAAGAACAGTGTGATAACGGCAGAGTAGAATACATTTATCACCAGCCCTATTTAGTCGCAGGTGCTTTTAGAGATCCGAGGTTGTGGAAAATCTTGCGTGTTACCGAGGCTCCGGCTCGAAGCAGGAATAGGAACGGGGTGGTTTTGTAGTCAGTAAGAGTCTGACACTCCTTCCCGCCTCACTCAGGCGGGAGCAGTCATTCGATGATAAGACGAAGGTATTACACATTAGACAGAGACCGGGCAGCAGCGCTCTCTAATAAACCTGAACCTTTTATACCGTGACCTCCACCCCATCTACCAGGAGTGGAGATTGTGGCAAACCCTCTAATGTAGAGGAGCCACAGGTCGTTTCATCTTCATCCACAATCCGTGACAGTCCTCTGCTAGACCATGAACCTCCTCTACAGAAGAGAGGGTCAACTGACTGTTTATTTTCACGTTTGGCAGATGTGAGACTCAATTTTGAACCGACTTCAAAAACACATAACATAACTTCAGCGGTAACTTCTTCAGCGGTGCACATTACGGCACTTAATACCACTGTACAATGTAACACCCACTTTTCACTATTTATGTTATGAACATAACATAATATCACGCCTTTTATCCCCGAAGGTAAAGGCAGCGGTGCACATTACGGCACTTAATGTCACTGTACAATGTAACACCCACTTTTCACTATTTATGTTATGAGTCCCATGTAATAGGGGGTGAGCCTATTGGCATATACCGGGCACAATTCCGGACATCGTGCTATTACTGAGATTTACAAACGAACGAACGAACAGGAACCAACTTATAATATACGCAAGGATTATAATTATGTTATAGGTAACATTTTCTTATTTACCACTCTTATACAAGTGAAACAGTCGCGGAGAACCTAACGGGTAACCGGGGCTCCGGCTCGACGTGCAGGAGAAGGAACGGGGTGGTTTTTAGTCAGTAAGAGTCTGACACTCCCTCCCGCCTCACCCAGGCGGGAGCAGTCATTCGATGATTTTCCCCCCTTAAAAAAAAATACAAGTGAAACAAGTGAATTTGTTTCTGCGAATAGGCTACAAGGCAGCACTTTTACACGTCAATTTTATCAAGCGAACGATGAGGTCGACATTTCTTAACTGACTACTCTGAGAAGAAATGCCAAAACAAATTCAGAGGTCTGTCTCTTTTAAAGTCCAGACAAATATGTATAATAGATACAAGTACTAGCTTCTGCTAGCGGTTTCGCCCGCATTCTAGAGGTATAAAAAGTAGCCTAAATGTTATTCCAGACTATAATCTAATATTGTTACAAATTCCATCCCGATCCCTTCAGTCATTTTGATGTAATCGAGTTACAAACTCACAATTTTTCGCATTTATAATATTAAAGTTAATAGTAAGATTCGCGAGAAATAAACTTTGAAATCCACTCACCGATTATTAGTATTATACTATTAATAATAATTATTGATATTATACACTAACACTGAATAAGAAACTAATTTTAAAAATAAATAAATAATTTTATAACTACACAGTAATAAGTAATAGTAGGTTTCGCGAAAAATAAACTTTGAAATACACTCACCGATTATTAGTAATAACTATAATTATTATTATACTCTGACACTGAATAAGAAAATAATTTTAAAAATAAATAAATAGTTTTATAACGACACATGTAATCACAACCGGTTGTGATGTCTGACTAACTGATTTCCTTAGGTAAGATAACGGGTAGACGAGCTGTGAACATTGGTATTGTCACGGAGAATTATTGTAGACCATTTTATTGTATTGTGTTCACTAGCAACTTCCACGCGGTTTCGCCCGCTCCCTATTGATCGGAGCATGATGTTCTATAGCCTATAACCTTCTTTAATAAATGCACTATCCAACGCAACGAGATTTATTCAAATTGGATCAGTAGTTTCTGGGCGTTCAAATAAACAAACATTTCATCTTTAAAATAAAAAAATATTATAAGATTTATTACATGAAGAAATAGTTTCTTTTAAGGGGGAAAATCATTCAATGACTGCTCCCGCCTGGGCGAGACGGGAGGGAGTGTCAGACTCTTACTGACTAAAAACCACCCCGTTCCTTCTCCTGCACGTCGAGCCGGAGCCCCGGTTACCCGCGTTAGGTTCTCCGCGACATGGTCTGGAGGTATAGGGTACTTAGGGTACTTATTACCCCTTGGAACGTGGGCGAAGTGGTAGAAGCCAGTACCTAATAAAGAAGTAGAAAACATTTTATCAGTCAACTTACCTCTAGTATAACTTTGTAAGGGTCAATTGGGATGATGACAGGGTGTGAAAATTAAAAATCTAATTAGTCCGTAAGTTAGGTAATGAAAAAATATTCGACACGTATTTTTTTATTTTGTCGTATAATAAAACAACACTCAGATAAAATTAATCAAAGTTTAGGAGTGGGGGCTAAAACGTTATTTATACGTATAAAATATACATAGAAGTGACGTCACGCTACATTTCAAATCAATAGAATGAATAGAATAGAATAGAATAGAATAGAATAGAATAGAATAGAATAGAATAGAATAGAATAGAATAGAATAGAATAGAATAGAATAGAATAGAATAGAATAGAATAGAATAGAATAGAATAGAATAGAAGATAGAATATAAAAGAAATATAGAATAGAAATAGAATAAGATAGAATAGAATAGAATAGAATAGAATAGAATAGAATAAATAGAATAGAATAGAATAAATAGAATAGAAAAATAGAATAGAATAGAATAGAATAGAAATAGAATAGAATAGAATAGAAGAATAGAATAGAATAGAAGAATAGAAAAATAGAATAGAATAGAATAGAATAGAATAGAATAGAATAGAATAGAATAGAATAGAATAGAATAGAATAGAATAGAATAGAATAGAATAGAATAGAATGTCATTTATTTCCAAGTATATGGTACATTGAGGTTTTACATTAAATATTGTTTCACATACACTACCATTGCTGGTGTAGAAATATTATGTTAATCATGCTTTATAAAAAAATTAAAAAACAAACTAGTAATTACAATAATGCCAAGTAAATTGATTCAATCACACATCTAAGATTTTGCTTGGTACATGACAGTAAATAGAAGCATTAGTGTTATTTCCATCAAAGTGTTAATATATTTTTTATAATGTTTAAATGCTAAATACAATGTCAATATGTCAAAACGTATATTGTCAAAATACTAAACTAAAATACTAAATACAATATATCGTCGAAAGTATTCGTTTATGTAAGAAAATAAAAAAAATGTGTCTAATGATTTAGAATAATCTACCAGACGGACATAAACATTAGGCATCTAGCCATCTACCCTATTGTAAACCAGTGTAGGAACTTATTGTACCCTGATATACTGAGTTGGCAAGCGCTTTTAGCCTAGGCATGTTGTTTTTTTAATTATATTATTTTAATTACGTCACGCTACCCTATAAAATGTAGTAAATCGTGACGTCACACGATATTTCAAATCAATATATTATCGTCGAAAGTGTTTAATTTTGTAAAAAAAGAAAAATACGGGTGTAATGTTTTAAAATAATCTATCAGACGGACATTAAAATACTATAGGATACTACTATAGTTGTAATAGACAACTCGTAACTGGAGAAAAATGTAATAAGTATGTCTAAAGGGCGAGTTTTAATTGTAATAATAAATAATAATTTACCCATTGTCTATTGTTTTGATTATCTTAGGATAGGAATCTAAGCAATTTATGAATGGCGATGGGCATTCTTAGAGAAGAATTATTTTATTTACCGTGCAGTAAATACTATAGTTAGGTACTGTGAGTGAAGATAGCCGGAACAAATACTTACCTAAACCATCCAATATATATAAATATATGTTCAATAATGTAACCAAAAATTGTATTGTGAACATGATTGAAAAAGAGTAACCTATGGAGTCTAGTACCTTTATACGAGTCGCGGAGAACCTAACGGGTAACCGGGGCTCCGGCTCGACGTGCAGGAGAAGGAACGGGGTGGTTTTTAGTCAGTAAGAGTCTGACACTCCCTTCCGCCTCACCCAGGCGGGAGCAGTCATTCGATGATTTTCCCCCCTTAAAAAAAAAAAAAATAAAAAAAAAAAAAATGGAGTTTCTTGCCCGTTCTTCTCCATAGGAATCTACACTTTGGCACGAGCAAATAGCTTCACTAGAGGACTGACCTACAGACTGATATTTTTTCTTATTATTTAATATTTAAATATTTTGTTTTGACGTCCAAAAGTGCCTGTACTGGTCTAATTGAAATAAATTATTTTGACTTTGACTTTGACTTCAGCAAAAATGTACGGTTTCAAAATTATATCACATTTTCGCAAATATCGTAAAATCACTATTTTGACACACATCTTTCGGCATGTTTCACTGAAATATTATTTTTTAATAAGTTTTGTACATCAAATTACATAACACAACATCACGCCTTTTTTCTCCGAGGGAGAGGTACGCTTCACGTCGGTTTTCTGCTCGGCTGGGGTATCACTCCGGTCAAGCAGGCCCATTCGTGCCGAAGCATGGCTCTCCCACACTTAAATATAAGAAATAAGAGATTTTTTAGGAAAAACTACTCTTGTCTCAGTTTTCCTAGAACAATTTTCTTGTCGCTCAATCTTATTTTCACAGCTGTAAGCTATGCAATGCGTGCTACACAATGTGTCTCGCGTTTAATTCCCGCCCGGAGCAAATCTTTGTGTGATCCACAGATTGTTGATCCGGGTCTGGGTGTCATGTGTATGTGAACTTGAATGTTTGTAAACGCACCCACGACACAGGAGAAAATCCTAGTGAGGGGCAACGTTTTAAAAACAATAAGACACTATATTACCCCTTAAGGGAAAATGTCCTCTGATCTTTTGGAGATTAAAAACGTTGAAATACAACAACATACAACAACATAACATAACGCCTTTTATCCCCGAAGGGGTAGGCAGAGATGCACATAGAAGTAACACCCACTTTTCACTATTTATGTTATGAGTCCCATGTAATAGGGGGTGAGCCTATTGCCATATACCGGGCACATTTCCAGACTCCGTGCTACTACTGAGATTTTTATAAAACCCAGTAATACTTTGCCCGACCCGGGAATCGAACCCGCGACCCCTTGCCCGGCAGTCGCACTTGCGACAACTCGGCCAACGAGGCAGTCGTTGAAATATTACTAAGAAAATATCACTTTGTGAGCAATTTACGGCAATAGACTCGCCCACTATAACACATCGGACAAGTAAATGATAAAATAGTGGGTGTACCTTTCACTTTTGCCTACCCTTTTAAAGTTAAACGTCCGTTATATTTTCGGTTATATGATAATAATATAAAAAAACAGGACACATTTATACACTTTTGCATTTTCGCTTGTTATTAAAATGTACATATATATTTTTTAAATAAATAAAAAAACTTGATCCGTCTAGAATAGAACGTGTGACCTTTCGCATTTTAATACATAGCGAATGAGTTAAAAATAAATTCTGAATGTGTTTTCCGGTATTATATTATTATTATTAAAAATAACATATTACCAGTCATAAGAGCAAAGATAATTATCCCAGCCGATACGGTGTCGCGGAGAACTTAACGGGTTACCGGGGCTCCGGCTCAAAGTACAGGAGTAGGAACGGGGTGGTTTTTAGTCAGTAAGAGTCTGACACTCCCTCTCGCGTCACCCGGGCGGGAGAAGTCATTGGATAATTCCCCCCCCCCCCCCTCCCCCAAAAGGGTGCATAAATCTACATAGGTTACTCAAAACAGTTACACATTTTTTTAAACGTTGCCCACTTTCCTGTGTCGTGGGTGCGTTTACAAACATAGTAGTTCACATACACATGACACCGAGACCCGGAACAACAATCTGTGGATCACACAAAGACTTGTTCCGTTTGGGAACCCGGTACACGTTGCGCGGCAGTCAGTTGCCCAGCCACCGCGCCAACCGTGCAGTCAAAGTCCACTTGGTAGCAAAAAACACGGAGTCATGAACGTTTTTTCATTTTATTAAACCGTTTATAACTTAGAAAACCACTACCACCAACCCAAACTATTTAACAGATTGATAGTCACAGTTCACCAACGGCTCCCAAATAATATTCATTATATGTCCTTTACTTGGCGGAAGCCAGTAAAGGACATTAGAACCGGCCTTGGAGCCGAGAGCAAGAAGGATTGCAAGGAAAATAATAATAAAAATAAGCCCGCAAGGCACCTTGTGGCGAGGTGACGGGCATTAGCGACCCCGCGAGCTACCATCATCCCGAGTGCTCCGGGGAGAAGTCACCGTTCTTTACTCTCCGGCTTGCCTTAATTGGCTGGCTGGAGTGAACGATGACAAGGAACAGGTCTCCGACATCTGGCTTGCCTTCATTGGCCGTCCAGAGTGGAGTCGCGGGAGCAGTGATCCTGCTCGGAGGGTAAGAAACTATTTGTAAGTCGCGACTTCGCGAGTGGGCCAGGGATGCAGGAGGCTTCGGCTGGAGCAGATGATCTGAGTAGAAAGCGGTGGTAGTTTCTTAATCCTTCAGCGACTCACATTCTCGTTGTCCCTCTGTTGCTATATCTAGCAACCATTCCCGGGGCCCGGTCGGTGAGTTGGCGAGTCTCCGCCTGCCATTTTTACGTGTATTAATTACATTGTTTCGATAGGTGCCATAGTCATACATAGTTTCCGATTTACCAATCCACAACAACCCATCCATAGCCCTACCTTTTTTTTCCATTATTTACAATACACTAACCGGGGACTGTCCTTGGGTGCATTTCCATAGTGCATACAGGGATAGTCACCGGTTTACATTAAAGTTGTCTAAAGGGCCTCTGCGCAATTGGCTTCGGCCCCTCGTACGCCTCCCAAATGACCGGGACCCTGTGGTCCCGTGAATGGTAAAGACACACAATTAATAAAAATAATATAGCCTTTATTCAGATCCGTGTTACAAAAGAAAACACATTAAAGACGTAAATCTAAAAATAATATAATTACGTGTAGAAGTGCTGCCTTGTAGCCTATTTGCAGAAATAAATTCACTTGTTTCACTAGTGCAAAATCTTGTATGTTTAAACTGTCCCACAGAGAGCACTGACCTCTTAACCAATGCCTTTGTGCCTCAATCAAGTGCTAACAAGTGCATAAAGAGTTGACAATAGGAACTGGCGAATATTAAACTATACATACACTCTTAGACACACACTGTTAAGTGTGGGAGACCCATGCTCCGGCTCGACCGGAGTGATACCACAGCCTCACAGAAAACCAACATTAAACAACGCTTGCATTGTGTTTCGTCGTGTAAGTGAAGTTCCCCAAGGCCCAATCATCCCCTTTCCCAATCTCCCCAAACCCCGAATCCCTAAAAATCATCTTTCTAATCCCCAAAAAGCCGGTAACGCACTTGTAACGCCTCTAGTGTTCCGGGTGTCCATGGGCGACGCCGATTGCTTACCGTCAGGTGATCCGTCTACTCGTTTACCGGCTTATGCCATAAAAAGACCAGTGTGATAACGGCAGAGTACATTTATCACCAGCCCCAATTAGCTGCAGGTGCTTTTAAAGGTCCGAGGTTGTGGAAAATCTTGCGTGTTACCGAGGCTCCGGCTCGAAGCAGGGATAGGAACAGGGTGGTTTTGTAGTCAGTAAGAGTCTGACACTCCCTCTTGCCTCACCCAGGCGGGAGCAGTCATTCGATGATTTTTGTTTCTCAATAAAGTTGTCCAAAGAGCTGATTAAGACTAAGGTATTACACATTAGACAGAGACCGGGCAGCAGCGCTCTCTGATAAACCTGAACCTTTTACACTGTGATTTCCACTCCATCAGCCAGGAGTGGAGATTGTGGCAAACCCTCTAATGTAGAGGAGCCACAAGTACCAACGTAACTTTTTCCGAGTTATACGTACTTCCTAAGGTTATTTAGACACCACTGACAAACGGTGAAGGATAACATCGTGAGGAAACCTAGCTTTATAATTTCTAATTATAAGGCTGAAATTGCTAATCCGCATTGAGCAAGCGTGGTGATTAGCCCCGGTTACCCGTTAGGTTCTCCGCGACACGAGGATGGGATAAAAGGACTATATAATATATATTTTAACAGGTTATTTGTTTGTTGTATTTTAAACTTATTGAAGCAATTTCATATTTGTATACCTCACGGAAAAACATAGATACCAGCAATTCTTTTGTTTACCTATAATTCCTTCTTCTGTGTATACAGCAGCGTATCAACACTGCCGTATAAAGATATCGAAATCAATTTTTGATATTATTTTAATTTCTATATCACAAAATAATTATGTTATCTTTAAATACTTAAACGATTAATTACCTACGTTAAATAACTAATTCCGATAATGTGACCTTCAGTGATAATCATAATATTGCCTTGTTGGCCGAGTGGTCGCTCGGGTTCGATTGCCGGGTCGAGCAAAGTATTACTGGGTTGTAAAAAATTCCCAGTAGCAGCACAGAGTCTGCAATTGTGCCTGGTATGTGGTAATAGGCTCACCCCCAATTACACGGGACTCATAACTTATATAGTGAAAAATGGGTGTTACATTGTACAGTGGCATAATGTGCACCTCTGCCTACTCCTTCGGGGATAAAAGGCGCGATGTTATGTATATCCAATCATAACACTTTTAGAAACGAAAAAAAAAATATCCAGCACCTGCCACGATGCAGCATATGTAAAATAATTTGAATCCTGTATCTTGATTCCACTATATCACTTAACGCGCTAAAGTCGGCAGCGCTCGTTCCAGCATAGAGCAGAGTAATGTCTTCTTAATAACAAATAAGCAATAAGTTTTTCACGATGGTCCATGGCAGAGACATAAAAAATCACGACGAACTGGTTATCCTACCGAACAACAAAACGCTCTTTTTTACGACGCCGCAACGCTGCAACGCACCGCAACGTAAACTGCCGATTTTAGCGTTGCGGTGACGCCACGTGGTTATGTGTTTCGGCCCTTAGTGTGGGAGAGCCATGCTTCGGCACGAATGGGCCGGCTCGACCGGAGTGATATTACTGCCTCACAACAGCTATTGGTGTTATTTAAATAAGGATATCATTGTTATCATCAGATTAGTTTTCCTGATGGGTATAACCTGGGTGCCTTTAAGGCCCGACTTGCCCTTGCTTATGGGTCGCCGAGGTCCATCGTAGACCGCATCGTCATACCGGGCACAATAGGGTAGATGACTAATTTTTAATTTAATGTCCGTCTGGTAGATAATTTAAAAACATTAGACACGTATTTTCTCTTTTCTTACGGAGACGAATAGTTTCGACGATATATTGATTTAAAATATCGCATGACGTCAATTTTAAGAACGATTTATACTCTAAAATGACGTAGCTACCTCCCACTTCTAAACTTTGATTCGTTTTATCTAAGTATTGGTTTCTTATATGTAGTATAAATAAAAAATAGGTGTCTAATATTTGTTCATTACCTAACTGACGGACTTTTCGGTTTTCAATTTTCAATTTTCATACCTTGTCATCATTCCTATTCCTGACTCCGTGCCAGTACTGAATTCTTTGTTCAAACCCAGTGTTACTTTGCCTTACCCGGGAATCGAACCCTCGGCATTCCAATACGCAATATTAATAAAATAAAATATAGGTACGTAAATAAGTATATAAAATGCAGAATATCTAGTGTGATAGACATATACATATTATATTTGCAGATAAAAAAGGTTCAAGGTTTCCGTATATCTATCTTATAATTCTAATATAAATTAGATATGATTGAAACATATTTGTGTAGTCACGGTCTCGAAAACTGCTGGAATGTAATAAGTAATAACTAACTTAACATACAGATCACGCCTTTTATGTCATGTAGGCAGAGGTGCACATTACGGCACTTAATGCCACCGTACAATGTAATAGGGGGTGAGCTTATTGCCATATACCGGGCACATTTTCAGACGCCGTGCTACTACAGATAATTATTTTTTCAAACTCATTATTACTTTGCCCGACCCAAGATTGAACCCGAGACCGAGACCGGTACGTATATGGCAATAAGCTCATTCCTATTACATGGGACTCTTAATATAAATATTGAAAAGAGGGTGTTACATTGTACAGTGGTATTAAGTGCCGTAAGGTGTACCTCTGCCTCATTCGGGGATAAAAGGCATGAGGTAATGTTTTGTTATATGTAACAAAGACAGGAATGTTTACAAAGTCTTGTTCAATATTTTTAATTAATTAACTTTATATGGACACTAAACACCACCACCATATTGTGGACAATCGAAAAAAAAATCTATAAACAACATGAGTAATTAATTTTAATAAGTAATTTAACCATCACAGTCTGTTAATTACTAAATATTAATTGTTTCACGCTATACTTAGCCCAAGATACAGCCATTTATAACCACTATCCGATGAATAAACACACAAACATTTTTTTACATAATTATACTGTAACTGGTGGACCATACACACTATATTTCGTCTTGGAAAATTTTCTACGCATCTATATGTATTTTATTCTTCCAAAAAAACCTTATCTTAACAATATGAGCCTAAGAAATAATGATTCGCAAAATCGGTTCAGCTATTCTCGAGATCCGCGATTAACAACGAATTTAGCGTTTTATTTTTATATCTATAGTATACAGATAAAAAAATGGAGTATCTGTTTATAATTTAAAAATAACCGCTTTTTACTACATGCATGCATACGATACACATACGAAAATAACAGTTTTTTAAATTTTTATCTGTCCGTCTATTTGTACTGGTTATTCTCTGGAATGGCTGGACTGATTTTGTAAGACTTTTATTGGGAGGTAGCTGATGTATTAAGGAGTAGCATAGGCTACTTTTATTTTGGAAAATTGAAACAAAAAAAGTTATGTTCTAAAATTCATATTCTACGTGGATGAAGTCGCGAGCAACAGCTAGTTAACGTTAAATTACTAACTACTTATTGAACTTTCTTCCTATTTTCGCTATCACTCCAAATAAGATCATTTAGGTACCATTGCAGATTGTAAAATGTATTTGTCATAATGACAGCAGAAGCGATGAATAGGTAGAAATATATTGTTCCATATAACTTGTCTAGTATGGGATACACCCAGAGCCCCTGTTCTAAGTAGCCGACCACGATCCTGAAACAGAAATATTATGGTTTAGTAAAAAGTAAAATTCAATGCCGTGGTCGCCCGGAGGTTTAAGACGCTCGCTTCTCATGGACGAGAGTGCGGCTTCGAAACCTACCAACGGCAAGTACCAATGTGATTTTATCCGAGTTATATGTACGTTGTATGATTATTTAGACACCACTGACAAATGGTCAGTTAGGACAAATGGACTGCCTCGACCACTCGTGGCCGAGTGGTCGCAAGTGCGACAAGGGGTCTCAGGTTTAATTCCCGAGTCGGGCAAAGTAATACTGGGTTTAAAAAAAAATCTCAGTAGTAGAGAGTCTGGAATCGTGCAATCGGCAATAGGCTCACCCCCTATTACCTGGGACTCATAACATAAATAGTGAAAACTGGGTGTTACTTCTGTGTGCACCTCTGCCTACCCCTTCGGGATATAAGGCGTGATGTTATGTGACAAATGGTGACGGAAAACATCGTCAAGAAACTTGGGACATATAAAGTCTAATTATAAGTTTTAAATCGCCAACTCGCATTGAGCAAACGTAGTGATTAATGCTCAAATCTTCTCAATTTGAAAAGAGGCTTTTGGTCAATAGTGCAACCCTTTTCACTATTTATGTTATGAGTCCCAGTAAGGTATATGTAACAGGGGGTGATCTTATTGCCATATACCGGGCACAATTCCAGACTCCGTACTACTATTGAGATTTTTTCAGTGAAGTCAGTCAGTAGTTCATTTTTATATCTCACTATTATCAATTATCATACACCTTCTAAGCATATCGTAACCATTACCCATTGTCCAATCGAAAATCGATCCCAAGTCGCTTTATTTAACAATCGTCACCACTCAATTTCCAAAAACCTGTATTCAAATATAAACCATAGCACTTACAAAATAAAATCCATACTCACACAACAAGATAAAAAGCAGCATACAGGTTAAGCATTAGGAGATTGGCCAAATGCGTATCAGGTCTCTTCCTAGGTCTAAATAGTAATTCCCATAGTGCTATAGGCACTATATATGTATGCATTATATGGTTAGATATCGGCGTAATGGTCTTGTCAACGCTGGGTGGTAGGATCAGTGCCCGATCGTAGGAAAATATCGCCCAGAATGATAGGCTTACAGTCTGTAAATAAAATTGGGTGGTTATTGCTACTCCCACGTTACTCGGCTCCTAGTGATCGTAGCGTGATGTTTTATAACTTAAAACCTTCCTCGATAAATATTCAATTCGAACCAGTAGTTCCGGAGATAAGCGCGTTGAAACATACAGACATAATACTCATCAGTTTTATAATAAAGTATGTAAGATATCTTGTTTTTCATTTATGGAAGGTACAAGTGTAACATCAACTTTTTATTAGTTACGTTACGTTATGAGTCCCATGTTATAATTTTTTTTAAGGGAGGAAAATCATTGAATGACTTCTTCCACCTGGGCTAGGCGGAAGGGAGTGTCAGACTCTTACTGACTAAAAACCACCCCGTTCCTACTCCTGCACTTCGAGCCGGAGCCCCGGTAACCAGTTAAGTTCTCCGCGGCTCATGTTATGATTGCCATTATAGTTACAGACTCCTTGCTATTACTGAAAACGTTTCCAAGTGCTGAAAATACTCCAAAAGTTCTTTTGTTGACTCGGCAATCGTACCTAGGACTACTGGTTCGCACTTACGATCATTCAACCGAAGACACAGGACATAATAATGTTAAACAGTTTTTATAAGCTCTGTTCTACCAAACAAGACTTTTCGTTTGATATCCATAATGGAGGTAGGGGTGAAAAAATTTTAATAATATTGTATAGTCATCAAGATTAAGAGTGTGTACCAAATATCAGACCGATCTGTCGTCAGGAAGGGGGTAAAATTCCAATTACTAAATTTGACTTGTAAAACGAAACGGGGCAAGCTAAATAGAAAGGCGAACAATATCTTCAAAAATACTTACAACAGAGATTGGCACTACAATATTAGAAAACAATGGATCCCTGATGGTCTTCAAACTCTTCAGCAATGAACTGTCCTTTCCTTGATTCGTAAGCGTCAGTACGTCACACGATAGACCGAGAGCCATGTACATAACTTGCATGTACTGAAAATAAATGAAAATATTTATACAATTTTCCCTTATTTTTAAAAAAAAAACATCGCCCCACCCTAGGTTTTTCTCCTGTTTTGTGGGTGCGCTTACAAGCATACACATGACACCCAGACCCGAAACAAGAATTTGGGGATCACACAAAGAGTTGCTCTGTGCAAGAATCGAACTCGCTACACGTTGCTCGGCAGCCGGATGTCCAGCCACCGCACCAGCTGTGCAGTCAAACTAACTTTTATATAAGAAACAAATCTATTAAGTTAATTTTTTTGCCGGTCTTTTCATGGTCTACTTAGTCTACTTGGTCTACTGGTCTACTTACAACATTCCATATGGTCAGGAACCTAAACTGATTATTATGGAAGCGCTTCACGTCGGGGTCTTTGAGTACATCACCCTTGTAAAAGACTATCATATTATATATGTTGGTGACATGGAGTATAAGACCGACGGTATATCCAAGCATGCGGTGGTGTATGTATCTGTAACAACACAATATTATTGTTTTATGTTATTTAAATCCAACAAAAAGCATTTTCATGTAAAGTATTGCTAAGAACATACATACAGTACAATTACACAGCTCGCACTGTCAAAAAATAATCAGATCTCATGGTCCTAAATCTTAAGGTTCTGCGAAATACTACGTCCGTAGCTCGTAGCCTGTAGTTCGCGTAGCGTTTGGTTTGTAGTACGTAGCGTTTGGATCGTAGCGCGTAATACGTAGCGCATAATTTGCATAACCCGCAACGAACTATGCTGTACGCCGCGTATTGCACAGTTCGTAGCGCGTAATTTGCATAACCCGCTACGAATTATGCTGTACGTGACGTATGGCATAGTTCGTGGCGCGTAATTTGCATAACCCGCTACTAACTATGCTGTACGCTGCGTATGGCATAGTTCGTAGTGCATAGTATGTAGCGAGCTGTACGTAGTATTTAGACCGTAAAGTGTTGTCCGTAACACGTAATGCGTAGCACTTGGTTCGTAGCGAACAGGTAATAGGTCGAAGCACGCAGGGAGTTGGGCATAATTCGTAGCGCGCTCTTTTCCAATCAGGTTCACAATACAAATATTTTAGTAACATAGTTTCGTTGGTTCCAACCCGGCTGCTGAGTATGGGGATTATGGCCAACCTTCTTATGTAGAGAAGGTTCATTTTCTAACAGGGGACTGTTACGGAGTGTTGGCGACGTTACATTACATTTAAGTGTGGGAGAGCCATGCTTCGGCACGAATGGGCCGGCTCGACCGGAGTGATACCACGGCCTCACAGAAAACAGACGTGAAAAAACGCATCCGTTGTTTCGTCGTGTGAGTGAGGTTACCGAAGGCCCAATTATCCCCATCCCCAGTCTCCCCAATCCCCGAATCCCCCACAATCCTCAAACTTCTAATCCCCAAAAGGCCAGTAACGCACTTGTAACGCCTCTTGTGTTTCAGCTATCCATGTGCGACGCCGATTGCTTACCATCAGGTGATCCGTCTGCCCGTTTACCGGCTTATCTCATAAAAAAATATTAATTTTAATTGTAATGTTCATTACGTATATAAATACTTCGAGATTTAATTCATAAATACAATTAATTCTCTGTATGAATATTCAACATCGACTTATATAATACATTTTTTGTGAAAATTTTTAGAATGATTACGTAAGAACAAACAATAGATTTAAGAGATATGCAACAAAATTTTGTTTTTACATTTTTGGTACACAATAGTTTATGTTTTAATTTACGTAAGTCTAATTTTCTTGTGTAAACTGAGGCCTTTTGTTGAATCTGAACAATCTGAAGAACTGAGAATCGAGTTTCGAGTTTTTATCATAACGAGTACGCGTTGAACTCTCTCATGTCCCGGTACCCCGGATGCTAAGACGCTTCTCATACATGAGAGTGCGGCTACGAACCTACCAACATCATGTACCAATGTAACTTTTATCCAAGTTATACATATGTTCTTTCTAAGATTATCTAGACACTACTGACAAACGGTGAAGGAAAACATCGTGAGGAAACATGGGTTTATAATTTCTAATTATAAGTTTTAAGTCGCCAGCCCGCACTGAGCAAGCGTCATCACTATTAATGTTCAAAGTTTCTCCGTGTGAGAAGAGGTTTTGTTCAGCAGTGGACATTTATAGACTGTTGATGATGTTCGGCAGTCTGATTTGCTAGCTCCAATGATCTAAGCAATCAGACCGATGATCACATACTCGCTTTGATTACTTTTAACGTCAAACAAAATCATCCTAAGGCCCTCTGTTTGGGATTTCTTGTTTTTTTTTAAGGGGGAAAATCATCGAATGACTGCTTCCGCCTGGGTAAGGCGGGAGGGAGTGTCATACTCTTACTGCCTAAAAACCACCCCGTTCCTTCTCCTGCATGTCGAGCCGGAGCCCCGGTAACCCGTTAAGTTCTCCGCGACTCCGAATCGGCATCAGCTCCGTTGGGCCCCATCCGTGGTATTCTGATGGGTCTTTGAGGCGCGCGCGGAACGCGACGCGCCGTACGTTCGGGTGGTTCGGGATTTGTTTATGGGATAAGCCGGTAAACGAGCAGATGGATCACCTGATAGTAAGCAATCAGTGCCGCCCATGGATACCCGGATCACCAGAGGTGTTACAAGTGCGTTACCGGCCTTTTGGGGATTAGTAATTTGAGGATTGTTGGAATGTAGGGATCGGGGATTTTAGGAAAGGATAATTGGACCTCAAGTAACCGCACTCATCTCACTCACCTCACTAAACACAACGCAAGCATTGCTTCACGTCGGTATTCAATGAGGCTGTGGTATCACTCCTGTCGAGCCGGCCCATTCGTGCCGAAGCATGGGTCTCCCACACTTAGTTATTATGTTTATAAACGCACCTACCCCAGACAGGAGAAATTCCTAGTGTGAGGCAAGGTTTATTAAAAAAGTAATAAAAATCATGTGGATAAACAGCAGATAGCCAATTACGCATAGACATGAGCCCATTCAATCAGCGTATATCAGTCAAATAAGCAAATAAGCGCAAATATAAGTTGCACTTTCCATATCCAATAAACTGGACTAAAAAACATAATATAATTTTAGTATTGAATACTATTTTTGAATGTCTTGAATTGTTGATATTGAAGTTAGCGGTGATTTCCTTATTATGTTTGTTTTTGAAACTTTTTAAATATATACAAGTTTTTAAAAGATCAGTTGTCCTGGTAGAAAAATAGTGGTACAATTACTATTACAATGTACTTGGGTAAGGATCGAAAATGTAAGTATTACTGCGGACAACCTAGTAGGTTCCGGGGCTCCGGCTTGACACAGGATTAGGAACGGGGTTCTAATGACCTTTAGGAAGATGGCGGCACAGTGATCACGTGCCGCCGTGCACTGCACAGAGAGGTTCTACGGCGCCACCCATGGACACCTGAAACATCCTGTTACCAGTAAAAAACTGTTACAAGTGCGTTCCCGGCCTTTTGGGAATTGGGAATTGTGGAGGATTCGGGGATTGGGGAGACTGTTTTACTTCGGTTTTCTGCTCGGCCGTGGTATAACTCCGGTCGAGCCAGCCCATTTGTGCCGAAGCATGGCTCCCCCACACTTAAATTTAATCAATTGTTAAATAGTTTAGAAGGCTTGTACCGTAGAATACCATTTTTACAATAGAAATAGAACACATTCTAGCTATTATTGTTATAATAAAATGTTTTTTAAGTTATGTAACGTCAGAAATATCTCTCACCTGTTCGATACATCAGCAGACACCATTTTGAAAATAATTAAATTTTATTTACAACTTCAATTTGAAAAACTGTCACTTATTTTGTGTGTTAATCACCACTTAAAACCTATTAATAAAGCCACTCCGAAAATTAATCGCAATATTTTGAAACAATTCAATTTATTCACAAGTTTTTTGGAATTACACCGATAGTGATGATATTACAAAACTAAAAAGTAAAAACTGAAATGAAAATTCGTAAAAGTTAAAATTATTTATGAATTTTAATTAAACGAATTATGTGTTTTAAGGACTAGGTGTCGACGTTAACCTCGTATATTTATATCAAATCGAATGAATGGTTTATTCTGTAAAAAATCAGTCAAACTACAATACCATAGTACCTTTTGTTTTTAATTAACTAGTATTTGACCAGCCTTCACGCGTGACTCCGCTTGCAATACTCATTACAATTTTATTTACTCTGCCCTAATAGAAATAATTCCGAACATCGTTAATCCATTTCACTGTCATACTCGGGATGCGAAAGTGAGACCACAATGATCAGTAATTATGCATGCAACTACATTATAAAAGAGACAGTGGGGTAACAACAGGGTGCAAAACAAAATGCCACAGACCCCCAGCTGGAAGGGACCCTGTTTTGAGGTTCTCATCAGAATTTCTCGATGAAATTGCCTCGAACGGTATATTTACGCCAATGAAAAGAGGTATTGTAAATATTATGTAACTTAATTAAAAGTAAAATAATAATGGTTCCGAAAAACAAATTAATCTCCAGCGATCTGTCAGTGGCCGACTATAAAAATGGATCTTCGAATAACAAAACTAAACTTCCGAATAGAATATTGAACCTCCGACAAAATTACTAAGTTACCGACAACGACAAAATAAATACGACAAAATAAAATGCCCGGAGGCCCAATAACCCCCCCTCCCTTCCCCAATCTCCCCAATCCCTGAATCCCAACGATCCTCAAACTCCTAATCCCCAAAAGGCAGGTAACGCACTTGTAACGCCTTCGGTGTTACCGGTGTCCATGGGCGACGCCGATTGCTTACCATCAGGTGATCCGTCTGATCGTTTACCGGCTTATGCCATAAAAAAACAAAATTAAGTTATCGTTTATGAGTCAAAACAAACCTACATTTAATATATAAACATCACGCCTTTTATCCCCCAAGGATGCTACTGTACAATGTAACACCCAGTTTTCATTATTTATGTTATGAGTCCCATGTAATAGGGGGTGAGCCTATTGCCATATACCGGGTACATTTCCAGACTCCGTACTACTACTGTGAATTTCTTAAAAACCTGGTAATACTTCACCCGACCCGGGCTTGGCGACAAGGGGTATCGAGTTCGATTCTTGCGACTTGCGACCCCTCGGCCAACGAGGCAGTCATAACCAAACAATCTTATATTATTTCAACCTATTTCTACATAAAAATATTATGAAAATTGATTCATTAGGTTCGAAGAAAGTAGCAAACAAACATACACTTTTATTTCTAACAATAGTAGTTGAACATATATGAAGTCGGTTAAAAATAATTTATTTTATATTTATAATTAAGATCAAGATAGCAGTAATAAGGAAGACAATAGCATTTATTTATATTGTTTACATAAAATTGTTGTTTCGAATCCGAGTATTATGTGAACTTGTATGTTAAATTTTTTTCTGTTTCAGATTTTTTAAAAAACGTTGCCCCACACTACGATTTTCTCTTGTCTGAATGGCTCGGTGAGCGA